TGAATGTATCTCATCATACGACCCACTGTTCTGTGTCTTGTAAAGTAGTAACGCGCGTTTCGCAGCAGCACTGGACTTGGTGTTAGTGGTCAGTCTTCAAGGCAATGAATGGAATTCTAATACAGAGAATCTTCGTCGAAGCTTGCCGTTGATAAGAATACCTAGGTAGCTTGGAGGAGTAGTCATCTGCCAGAAACGAGAACTGGATGGCTATAGGATACCGATGGAAGCACCCATATGAACTTTTCCAAGACATCTTCGAACAAGTGAAGGACAAGCAGTCAGTGTGAAACCCTCATGGTGATCAAGATGTTTGGTACGCATTGGCAGCTTAACGACGCGGCCTCATGGGAATCATGACCGCGAACAGGCCAACCACCAAGACACTGAGAGGCGCTGGAACACTCCTGGGGCCACAGTCAATCACAAATTTGAGTTTTCAACACACCACACACTTTCCACCTATGCATAAGCGAGTTCTAGTTGATGGGTCTGGAGTTCGCATGACGGCTCCAGGCGCTTATCCTGCCCTCCCTTGAGAGAAGCGAGATACTGTGGCAACAGGACAATCTTGTGGAGCAATGTACCAGTGTGTAGGCTGTCACATTGCCATCGTAGAACCAATGTCGCTCTTGGATTGCCCAAATGACTGACTCTACGGTTTCGCCGAGATAGGGGTAGCCTACTAGGTCACTGGTCTAGATGGAGTCGATCTTGCAAATCCCCACACGATGTTCTTTGTCCATTGGATGACGGAAGAATCATAATGATGTACTGCGTATGAATGTATATGAGCTACTGTTGCACGCCAGGGTTGGATTCAGTGTTCGTCGTCCTGTATCCACCTGGAGAGTTCTGGGCAGTTTCGGATCACGACACATACAAATCAACACGTCGCGTGAGATCATACAACAAGGTCAATACCATACTCTCGTTCATAGAATACGTGCCACTGCCTTCTCTTCTGTTTGCTGTCACGTACTGATGAGATTCTCGTCTGGTTGGGCAAAGAAGAGGCAGTTCAGATTGCGAGATCTTCAGATACAGTTACATCAAGATTCCCAGGGACAGCAGAGACAGAAGCGATGGAGTGTGATGGCGGCACTAAGGGCTGCCCTGCATGTGTCTCCCCTGCTGCAGTAATTCATGATTATGAAGAAATCCTACAGGGGGTAGAGCTCAGAGACATTGAACATCGAGAGACACGCCTTTCTAGAACCGGGACATAGCAATCGGCGGATCCTCCGAGACGGAGAAAATATCATCGATACACTGTAACGACATTGAAATCCGTCTAGTGCTGGATTTCAACACAAGCCATTGCTCATGACTTTTCTTGACTTCATTCAGACGTTCATCTGGTGGCTCGAAGGCATCTCGGTCAATGATCCCGGTCGGCGATTGCTTCAGTCACTTGGCCTCTACGTTGTCACCAATGTAGACTGCCAAGCATCTTCAGCTGATCACCTAAGAAGCCAACAACACATAATGAGAGCATGTTCGCTAGCAAGCAGCTGAATCAGCCCATGCTGGAGTTGGAACATTGTTTTGTCGGAAAGACGGGAAGGGCTGCGGAGACCCCAGTCAGGGGATGCTGTGCGCCACAGAAATACCGGAGTGCGGCGCCACGCTGCTGCGTTACCGGCGGGCTTCCTGGTTATTGCACAAGCGCCGCGGGCTTGCACGACATGAACTGCACGCAAGAAGCCACATTTGATTCAATACGGTACGCCAGGGGCTCCCGTGCCCCAACAAGACCTAAGCGAACGATTCTCCCGCCGACGAGGGAGGTCGTTGGCTTGGACCGGCGCCGACTTGACCGGCTGGTCGGTGCGTGAACGTCGTTAAGGTGGAAACAGATACGGGGATAGAATGCAACTCGATAGATTTGGCACCAAGACAAGTCAATGTAGATCCATTGATGTGGGACTTTCAATATCGACAGGTGATGAGGCTATTCGATTGTTCAGAACCGGCGACTTGGGACGTGTTCTCAATACCGAGACGGCCTAAGAGCAGGTTCCTGGGCTTGGCTCTTCAACATGGACACAGAGATTCAAGTCAGCATGTCAGCTCCCACTCTCACTGCGTCGCTAGTACGGACGGCAGTCCCCAGCTGCACAATACCGCCTTACCTACATGTGACCAACAGTGAGAGTAATCAGGCAGGATAGAGGATTCATTGCCATGATTGTTCACACTCAACCCGGACTTCGGCAGAGGGAGGAGGTGGCATCCTACATATACACCTCTCATGGGGAAGTCCTTCTGATAATGGACGTCCTTTAGATTAAGTTGCTTATCTCAGGGGCTGATCAGAGCCCTCCGTTACTTCGCTTGCTTTGGCATTGAGGACGAGAAGATACTAGCAATATATAAACAAATGCAGGTCCAATGCATCCAGCAACCTGGGGATTTATGGAGACGCGTCTACGAGTATTGTCCATAATGAATGATCCCGTTCCAGATATGCAGCATAACACGCAGCATACTAGGCTTGAAGGGCACGGGATGCAGATATACAACTGTAGTATCAAATGCGGCCGACAAACATGGGGATTAGTGGGGTCAATGCCCCAAACTTAGACACTTCGGCTATGCTGACAGTTGACATTCGCTGACACCCAAAGCACACCTCAATCATGGGAGCCTGTAACGCCCAAAGAAGACATGGTATTAACAGGTTGTGCTCATTGTTGACCAATATGGAGGACAATGTCAGACTAGAAGAAATGACGCGATCGTAGGATCTCGGCCCGCTCGAAGGTCGATGAGTGATTAACAATGTCTTTTGAGGCTGGTGGCTTGAAGAGCTTTGTCTCTTGCCTGGGACGACGACTTGTGCCACTCGTTCGACAGAGGAGCGACACAGTCTAAAGAAGTCCATGATTCAAAAGCAGATGTTGCAGGATGAGCTCAGGTATCCTGATCTAGCTACGGCACTCGATCTCGTGCCACGCAAAAGGGCGGCGGGAGTGGCAGCCTCGGCCGTATTATTCCTAGACGTTTGTCCACCAGTAGAATGCCCAGCCCACCGGTCGTCACAAGTAATTGTTCATGTCACGCCGGCTGGGCAAATCTTCTTCTGATGGGGGATCCATCAGTGCATGCGTATCTAGGTGAAGCGAATAGCCTCCTGGGCATACTAGCCAGAGACCAAATCTGCATCCTCGGACCAGCATCACGCATCGAGCAACGGTTCCAGATGAGATACACTATTGCGTTGTATGAGACGATCGACAAAGACTTCGACTAGATCCTTGCTCTATGCAGTCGAAGCCTCGAAGCTCCTTGGAATTCATCAACTCGCCCACCCACGGACTGCATCCCGAGATGCCCAAGGCCCCCAATAATGGAACTCCTCCCACCCCTTTCCGCTTTGGGGTCAATTTTAGCGCGGAGGGAACCGGTCCGTTTTCCAACACGGCATAGTTCACCATCTCCAGGTCCGCAGCGCGAGTGGAGGCGCGTCCATGATTGGCTTCAAGGACCGTCCGTGTAGATGCTGCCCCTGCCGATGCTGCCCCGTACCGAGATGTCTTCCCCTTCGCTTCCTCCTCCTAATCCCACATCAGCACGCGCCAGATAAGACGAGAGAGCGCTGCAGTACTAGGCTAATACTGGACTGAGACTACATACCGTGGTCAATGACCCTGTCAGCTACACCCGTTTGGGCTAAGTGAAACAACATTCCTCGAATGAACAGTAGCATCTTGGGCTCAGTCAATACCTGATGATTTGCCTGAGGCCACCTGGAAACATGGGCCGTGTTCCGCCTACCTCTTCACACGCAACCCACGCACCCACAGCGCTGTCAGTGTCTTCCCCAGCAACAGAGTTTGCGGGGAGACGCACTGTGTTTCTCCATAGCGCCACGAACTCTGCTAGACTGGCTCGTTTCAATGCTGTTGAGTCTCGCGTGACGGCTCGCCGGCCGATGTTCTTTGATGGCATGATCGTAGACTCTGGAGTACTCCATACGAATAGCTCCGTTGGAAAGTCCAATGGCATCTGTTCAGGCCCCTCCAGCCTGTAAATTTCAGCCTTCTGGAAACGCGAGGCCGTGACAGAAGCCGCTAGACAGCCAACCCCAGTTGTGGTGGTGGAGCTATTCTACCCCCTACTATGCAGTAGTCTGCTAGAGAATCTCCAAAAACCTGGAGCGGCGGAGCCACACAACCCGATGATCCGGGGGAAGGAAATTCCCCATTAGCTCTCGTCAAATCAAAGCCATGCTCCGTCCTCGTTAACGCCAAACTCGGCGTCTTTCACTGGCGCCATGTCGATGTTTGAGTTGCAAGTCCGAAAAGCATTGGGGGGTTTTTCTCTTTGAGATCAAGAGTTCCAGGGAGGGATCGTCCAAGTACAGTCCTCGCACATTTGCAGTGGGAGCGCAGAGTTGCATTCTCTTACTACTGTCTACCTCTGGATGAGGTACCTTTGGTCACTCGTGGTACCTGTTTGCCACGGGTTGCCCATCTCTCGTCTTCGTGCTTGATCGCTTGAATCGAGACCTGTCCATCTGTTAAGCGGATGCCAATCCAACCCTTGCACGTTCGCACCCCATCTGGCACTGCCAGCAGTCGAGCCACGAGTGATCTCTCTCCAGACAGGGGTAGGCACGGTAGGGTAGCCCTGGGGGGCAAGGTGTGCATGTTGCCGTCTACACTACACACTAGGCTCAGATGGCCCGCACTCCTACCCATACCTCTTCCCACACTTCGCTTTTGCAAGGTAGGTACTTCGTACACCAGGAGACAACGACCCATGGGGCAATCCCCGGGTGGAGCTCATCCTATTGTCAGTCAACCCTTCAACCTTCGATCCATAAAATGGGCACTCGTCCCGCGTCCATGGGATGATGCTCGTCTCTCACTCATCGCGCTCCTTCTCTTCAAACACATAATCATCTCCCTTTACGCAGCTAGTCTGTGCCAATTGGGACTCTTGTCAGCCCTGTTGTTTGTAAATAAGGAAGTCTACTACAGCAGTCGTCCATCATGGCGGAGAAGCTAGACACCGTGGACGCTGTCCACGAGCATGATGTTAGCGATAAGGCAAGTCGAGAGCATACTCAGGGCGGCCATACACAGGAACAATCTGGCTAACGACTCATCCACAGAAGGAAGTTGAGACCAAGGTCGTCAAGGGTAATGAGGCTTTCAACGAGGCTATGATCAAGGAGCCTCCCAATCCTTGGACTAGAGCTCAGTTGTTGATTTATGCTTTCTCCATCGTCGGCTTTTTCTGCTCCACCATGAACGGATACGATGGATCCTTGATCAACAATCTGCTCCAAAACCCTGCCTTCAAGGACTATTACAACGTCGAAAACACTGGTATCTGGGCTGGTATCATCACCTCCATGTACCAGATCGGTGGTGTTGTCGCTCTCCCCTTCGTCGGACCTGCTATTGACACCTGGGGCCGAAGAATCGGTATGCTCATCGGTGCTCTTCTGATCATCATCGGTACCATCATCCAGGGTACATCTCACGGCGCTGGTCAGTTCATGGGCGGTCGTTTCCTGCTCGGTTTCGGTGTGTCCATTGCCGCCGCCGCTGGACCTATGTACGTTGTCGAGATCAACCACCCCGCCTTCCGTGGTGTCGTTGGTGCCATGTACAACACCCTTTGGTTCTCCGGTGCCATCATTGCCTCAGGCTCTGCTCGTGGTGCTCTCAACACCGGAGGAGATTACTCGTGGAGACTCATCACCTGGCTCCAAGCTCTGTTCTCTGGTCTCATCTGCATCTTTTGCCTACTTCTCCCGGAATCCCCTCGATGGCTTTACGTGAACAACAAGAAGGAGGCTGCCAAGAAGATGCTCAGCAAGTATCACGGCAACGGCAACCCTGATTCTCCTTGGGTCACCCTCCAACTCCACGAGTACGAGGAGCTCCTTGACATGGATGGTGCTGACAAGCGTTGGTGGGATTACCGTGCTCTGTTCCGCAACCGCGCTGCCGTCTACCGCCTTTGCTGCAATCTTGCAATTTCCATCTTCGGCCAGTGGGCAGGCAATGCTGTGTTGTCCTACTTCCTGGGCGCCGTACTGGATACCTGCGGTTACACCGACGCCATCTCGCAGGCCAACATTACTCTGATCAACTCCTGCCAGCAGTTCCTGTGCGCCATCTTTGGTGCCTTCCTCGTCGACCGTGTCGGCCGTCGTCCTCTACTGCTGTTCTCCTTCACAGGCTGCTGTGTTGTCTGGCTCGGCATGACCATTGCCTCTGCCGAGTTTGCCAACTCTGGTGGCGGCAAGAACCCCGATGGATCGACCAAGACTGGCCCAGGCATCGACACAAATGCGTCCAAGGCCGCCCTTGCCATGATCTTCATCTTCGGCTCCATTTACTCTGTCGGTATTACTCCCCTGCAGGCCCTCTACCCCGTCGAGGTTCTGTCTTTCGAGATGCGTGCCAAGGGCATGGCCTTCTCCTCGCTGGCCGTCAACGTTGCCGGTCTGCTTAACCAGTTTGCTTGGCCCGTTGCCATGGAGAACATTGGCTGGAAGACCTACATTGTCTTCACCGTCCAGGACTGCGTCCAGGCACTTATCATCTGGCTCTACATTCCCGAGACCAAGGGACGAACTGTAAGTTTGCCTTACTACTCGCATTGTTTCAGCTTGAAAAGGCAACTAACATAACTTTCTTCATAGCTCGAGGAACTCGACGAGATCTTTGCTGCCAAGAACCCTGTCAAGGCATCCACACAAAAGAAGGCTATCGCCGTCACTCAGCACGGCGACATTGTCAACGTGCAGGAAGTCTAGAAGCTCTTGCCAAAAAGCACTTGCGTGCATACTGCACAGAAGTCAGCAGGGATATAACGTGTTATGCTTGTGCTTGTCAAAATGCTCCCTATAATATTACGAGATACCACTACATAGGGGGTATACCATTGCGACGGGATTTGGGCATGTGTCACGAACAGGCGAAGTAGCATTGGGGGGCCTCTCATTGTACAATCTTCTCTTTAATAAACTAAGTTGAATTGGTAGTTCAAACGTGACAATATAATTCTTTTCAGTTCGATGTGTTGTTGATAATTTTTCGCAGCTCTGAGTTTAAAAACCGTTACTCAGTAGGCTTAGTCGTTGCTGTCCAGATTTTCACTGTGTCTGTTTTGTGTAGCCAATTGCTGTATCATTTGTACCATAAATGAGCCGTGCTGTTCGGTCGTACTTCGTAGATACCTGCGGTACCAGAAGGTACAACTTATAGCCAAGGAATACGCATAACAGGCTATAACCCTGTACGCCGTGCTGACTTGCATGCACACCTGTATTATCAGCCACATCTGAGACCTCCAAATCAGACACGATCCTTCCGCCTTTTGCTGCTCGGACTAAACCAGTATCTTCGGATCTAACCGCTGCTCACTGACGCATCGCATCACGTATAGTGCATAAACTCTCGGTGGTGTCTCACAGCTTGGTCAACAAATAAGAAGATATATGTAGCGAGATATGCGATATAGGAGGCTGTCTTCTTGCGCGGACTTGTGAAGACCTTTTCTGTAAATAGCCATAATCACATAACAAAACTGTCACTCGACTCGACATCAAATGCTCACACTTTCTGCAAACCTGTTAAGGCTATTCAGGACATATCAGAAATCTCAGAGGTTGCCACTTTTCTCATTAGCAATACAAATAGATGGTCTAAATGGCGTTGAAGTCTTTTCTTGTCCACAAACCCAAAATAATTAGGGTACGACTGCTGACACGATGTAACCACTAGTTTCACTCCCACATTCGTTTGTACACTTATACCGAATCAGATCACGTACAAACGGCGCCAAATGTATTCAAGACTCGATTATGAAAGAAACTAAACAGAATTTTCTGCTGTCGATCAAGTCAACCTATTTAAAATATAAGCATTACGTTAGGCTAAAGGAAATATCGCGTAGACTGAACTATCGGACAAATGTTGATGAAATTGCTTGCTAAACACTAATCAGCCGCTAAGAAAATTTCATGAAGATCAATATTGCTAGGTTATGAGTTGAGTTCCGTGCAGCTCACATGGAAAAGATGGTAATCCTGATTTCACCGATAACGACTTTCTGCGAGACCGTGGTGTGAAGAACAGTCATATACCCTATAAAACAGCCTAACGTCTAGCAAAGCTCCTCTTTTCCCTCAGACGTTGGAATGGTAGCGCCCTTATCCTGCAATGTATGCTGAAGGCCATCACTGGACCCAGCAGTTTCTCCGACACTATATCCATCCTGTGTGCTGGATATATATCTGCCGGAATAGCTATGCCAAGAACCTTGGCAACATTTGGAAAAATGCCCCTTAGTGCCAAGTCCCAGGTCTAATGATGAGTTGCACATGAGTGCTGAAACCATAACCAATCGTTTGAAGTATAAGCAATGAGCAATGCAACCTAGAAAACGCGGGGAAGACTCAAGTTATCCCACAAGGAGCAATCGCAAACTTAAACCATTCTCCGAACATAATGTTAAGACAGCAACGATAATCCTTATACACCTTACTGGGACTTGTGTGGCGACGATATATAGAAGCTCCCGTACTCGATTTTAAATTGCTCCTCTTGGCAAATCATGGACATTGTTGCGTGCTCGAGTACAGTCGGGCAGGTTAATCGAGGAATGCTTTCACGATGGCTATTAATACCCTACAGCAGCGGTCTCGCGGCCAGCGGGTGTTTTACCAACCTGCAGTTAAGAGTCTGCAACTCAAATACCTCCATCCGGACATCTTGGACCTCCAACGTATCGGCGCTCTAGAACCATTACTGATACCCAATGGGTCTACATTGCTACAACAGATGGTTCAAGTGGCTCTGCCATACCATCTCCTTGCTTTCTTTCCTCGCCTCATCGGTGACTTCAGCTCCAGCCGCAGTGGCAGCAGACGAGTACGATTATGTCGTCGTTGGTAGTGGACCCGGAGGTGGGCCACTGGCATCGAACCTCGCAAAGGCCGGATATTCCGTTTTTCTCATCGAAGCTGGCGACAATAATCCTGGTCAGGGTTTCGGGGTATACACTCCAACGGTCACATGGGACTTCTTCGTCAAGCATTACCCTGATGGTGACCCCAGAAATGATCAATATAGCCACTTGACTTGGCTCACCCCCGAAGGGAAATATTGGGTCGGGCAAAGCGGTGCACCAACAAACTCAAAGCTTCTTGGCGTGTACTATCCTCGTGGTGCAACACTTGGAGGATCGTCCATGATCAATGCCATGGTCGCTTGGTTACCAAGTGACAGCGACTGGAATTACCATTATGAAGTGACAGGAGATGAGACATGGAAGTAAGCGCTGTGTGATCTTCTAGAATTTATCTCTTAGTGATACTTGCGCGCTAAAACAATTCCCCTCCAGAGCAGAAAACATGAGAAAGATCTTCGAGAAGATCGAACATAACAACTATATGCCAAAAGGGACGGCTGGCCATGGTTTTGATGGATATTTCCAAACCAACATGGGTTCAATGGCCCAAGCCAAACGAGGATCGCTCAACGGAAATCAAGTCATGACAGCTTATGCTAAAGACCTGAATTTGACGGATACAATGACAAACCTCTTGACCAGAGACCCAAACGTTCTGTCCTCTACACGAGACCAGACACAAAGCATTTACGGGCAAGTTTCCCACCAATATTCAAACGGCAACCGTTACAGTTCGCGAGACTATATCCAGGCCACAGTACAAGGCGGCGCGAAGATCACAGTCTCATTGACATCGCTTGCTACGAAGGTGCTCTTTGACACGACTTCTAAGTGTGGTGACAAACCAAGAGCAACAGGCGTCGAGTATTTGCAAGGCATGTCTTTATATGCTGGTGATTCCAGACGCAAATCCGGCGACAAAGGGACGAAAAAGTCGGTGACTGCGAAGAGGGAGGTCATCGTTTCCGGTGGTTCGTTCAACTCCCCGCAGCTACTCATGCTCAGTGGAATAGGTGCAGCGGCAGATCTCCAAAAGTTCAACATCACTGTTATCAAAGACTTGCCTGGTGTTGGCCAGAATCTTATGGACAATCAAGAGATGCCAATTGTCGGATCTGGATCTGCAGGACAGGGGGATGCAGGTCTTGCAATGATTAAGACGAAGCATCCCGCTCATGGGGAGCGCGATATGTTCTTGATGGGCGGCCAAGGCTTCCTTTTCCGAGGCTTCTGGCCGCAGAACCCTATTAGAGTACCTGCGGAGCCTCAACAGCCATACGGTGTAAGCATGGTGAAAGGATCCTCTGTCAACAACAAAGGCTGGGTAAAGCTCAAGTCCGCGGATCCGCAAGACACCCCGGAAATCAACTTCAACCACTACGCAACTGGATCAGAGTATGACTTGAATGCGATGAAAGACACTGTGGCGTGGATCCGCAAGATCTACACTAGAATTGGCATTACCCCCTTGGAGCCACCTTGCAACGGAACTCCAGATGCTAACGGAAGCTGTGGGAAAGCGGATGAGGACTGGATTCACAAGCAGACCTTCGGACATCACCCGACTAGCACGAATAAGATCGGCGCAGATAACGACACCATGGCTGTGCTCGATTCTAAGTTCCGGGTTCGTGGAGTCGCTGGACTGCGAGTCGTTGACGCAAGCGCCTTTGCAAGAATCCCTGGCATCTTCCCAGCAGTATCGACTTTTATGATCAGCCAAAAAGCTTCGGACGACATGATTGCTGAGCTAAAGGCTGGTACTGCAATCTCAACCTGTTGAATTAAAGGCAAGGCTGTTTTCCTATTAATACCATACTGGAGAGTCTAAGAAAATCCAGTTAGAGCATATTGTTTAGGTAGATGGCCTGACTCAAATAGCGTGGAATGGCATCTAAAGTCTCACAGGACATGTAAATCTTCAAGAACATCGATCTTCTACGAAGTAGCATTCTTCTCAAGAGAAGCTATTGACGATGTTGTGGATGAACGCTTGAAGTACGAGGCTCCGGTGAATCTCCGTCTGTGCCCCCGCACATCTATGGAGCCCGACTTCCGAGCTCCGAGCACCTCGCGGTAATTGCGGCATAGTCTCGGTCCCAGTCTCCGAATAATGACAAATCTCTCCTTTTGTGTAAACCCTCACCACTGTATTTTACTGTATGGCAAGTGGCCCATATAGCGTAGTAGAGATGAATTGTGCAAACCAGATATCCTCAGTGCATGCAAATCGAGGCTAGGTAAGTAATGGAGTAATTAATGTCCGCGCTCCCATGCTCGTTCCCTGACACAAGGTCTCAGAGATTCTAAAGAGTAAATTTGGGGTGAAAATTGGTCAGGGTTCGAAATAGACTATCGGATAGCGAATACGACTTCCACCCAATATCGTAACTGCAGTGAACATTTGCCTGTTAACGCAGGGCCTTTACATTTCCTCCGAATTTTCGCTTGTAATTGATTGCTCGCCTGCCTTGGAAATGCGCCATTTCAGTAGCACAAGTAGCCCAAGTAGCTTCGTAAGGCTGTGTAATCTGGTCCACGTTTAAATTAGTCATCCCTTCTAATAGATCAGGCCCGGCTTAGACAAGAAAGCCGCCAGTGGGGCGATGGAGAAGCACGCGATGACTGCGGACATCCGATACTGTCAATTGAAACAGATTTATAGCACCGACAAGAACACCTTTGTCAATGAAGACGGACTGGCTTTGTCGTGTTATTCCTCCGACTATTCTCGTCATTCAATCCCGGCCAACCACACTTTGAGAAGCAAGGACTGCCCGCCATGTCACAACAACTAAAGCCTCTCGTTGCTTGGGGTGGTGTAGACGGGCCGAACCCACCTAAAGTGGCAATGGTTCTGGAGGAGCTTGGGCTACCTTGGACACCAAAGTACATTCCATTCCAAGACATCAAAGGACCAGAGTATACGGCTATTAATCCCAACGGTCGGCTCCCAGCGCTTCAAGACCCGAATACTGGCATCACGATTTGGGAATCAGGCGCGATCCTTGAGTATTTGATTTCGGAATATGATAAAGAGCATAAGCTTAGCTTTCCGACTGGAACCGCTGAATTCTACCACTGCAAGCAGTGGCTTATTTTCCAGGTGTCCGGCCAGGGACCTTATTTTGGACAGCTATACTGGTTCAAGAATCATCACGTCGAGAAAATAACGTCGGCGATCGATCGATACACAAATGAGGTCCGACGCGTTTCGGGAGTTCTCGATAAGCATTTGGCCACTCGTCAGTATCTTGTCGGTGAAAAATGCACATACGCAGACATTGCATGGATTTCTTGGCAACTTATTGCTGCGAATTTGGTTCGAGATATCTATGATCCCTCGAAGGAGTATCCTCATCTACAGGCATGGCTCGACAGATTGACGAGCCGCCCTGCCGTCAAGAAGATATTGGAGGAACGAGAGGTCAGGGGCGCCCACTAGAATTCTGCATGCATTAGATCTATACATATAAATCACCAGTCGAACCACCGGTGGTACCTCTGAGCCTGAGACCTGTGAAACGACTTCTTTTGAGAATTTAGGAACAAATGTGATGGCGAGGCGGCAACTGAGACTGGGCAATAGTGCAGGCTACATCCAAGAAATCACAATGATCTGCGTATGAAGTCAATTAAGACCATGCCTTTGCCTTATAAGGAACGTTACTCAAATATGATTGGCTGAGTGATGGCACATTTTAAACTTTCAGGGATCGTTAGTGCTGACGAAACGAAAGATTACGAAGCCAGTCAGCATTGGACAGAACAACCTGCACGGGACTCGGTATTGGAGTTCGATATTGAGTAAACAATGATTTTCTTAGCTATCTATGGCTGAGGGCAATAGACAGCCCATGCTATCTTGTCGGCCGTCTTCCAATTCTCCGATCTCGGTATTATCAAATGATGCGCAAAACCAAAGTACAATCTCGCACTCGTATCGCTTGATTGTTGACAGGGTGATCATCACCTATATGGCTACTCGTGGCTGAAACTTTTCTCGGCATACTTCCAATACCGCTGCGCTGACCATTTTCTCAACGCTTTCCCTTTCCATATCATAAAAAGGAAAGTACCAGTGCATCCTAGCGATAGGAAGCCAGCCATTATAAAGCAAGCCTGTAGGCCCATGTTGGTATACCATGGTGTGATAGCGTAAGAGATGCCAAAACCCAATGTATTCCGGATGATAATGATAGACGTCGTAGATTCTCCACTGATATCCTTGAAGCAGTCGACATTGTATGAAAGCGCAATAGAACCACCAGTTACTACGCTGAAGGTGAGAATTGCAAGGCCGATGGCCAGCCCGGCCCAATGAGCTTGGTGCTGGGCGCCGACACCCCAAATGATGAGCCCGGCACATGACAGAACAGACGATAAAGCCAATGGCCACAATCTCTGCTCGGGCTCTCTGATGCCTTTATTTCGCCGTGCTAGATAGATCGTTATACGATCTGCAGTCATACCGGCCCAAAGGGAGCCTAGAGCAGCTCCAATGATCGGTCCAACATAGATGCAGCCCACCAAGCCCGTCGACCAGTTGTAAGGGTCTGCACTTAATACAGGACTTGCAGTTCCGTTAAGGACATTGTACCAGGCTAGATTTATTCCATATATGAGGCCCGACCATGCGACATTGGGAAACTGGACGATAATGGCGAGTGGTAGAAGCATATCCTTGAACATCTGCTTGTTGCTGGGTCGCCCAGCCATGAAGGAAAACGGGTTAAGTTTTTGGAGGAACGATCGTTTCTGGTATTCAAAATTCAAGTCAGGTGCCTGGGAGGCTTCTGGCTCGACTGCCTTTTCTCCATTACCGACGCTGGTGTTGATTACCCCTGTCGCTCCGGTTGTGGCGTTGATGGGCTCCTCATCCTCGAGGCCCTCTAAGGTTTTGCGGAAATACATTGTCTCCTCCATGAAGAAAAACAGAATGAAGAAAGCAACAGCAGCAATCATTGCGCCAAAATGCATTGTCCAGCGCCAGCCATAGGCCAGAGCGAACCAGCCTGCAATGAGAGGTGCGATGAAGTTGGAGCCAAAAAGGACAAAAACATATAGTCCCATCCACGACCCTCGATCGTGAGCGAAAAATACATCCGGCACACTGACTTCGGGAAGTGACTCGATAGGCGATGCAAAAATTCCGAGGAGTATCCTGTGTGCATACCACTCTCCACTCGTTCGAGAGTAGGCGGTCCAGACCATCAATGGCACTGTGGCTAAGCATGAGATGAGATAAACACCGCGCCTCCCGTAGGTCAGAGCAATGGGTTGCCAGAACAGACAAGCCCATCCAAGGAAGAGAAACATGACTCCAGTTCCCTGGACGAGGTCTGCTGTAGAAATGCCGGTGTCTCGGGTGATATCAGCGAGGACAGAGTATTGTAGCGTGGTGGGGATTCCAACTCCTAATGTATAGACGACTATCATGAATGCCGAAAGCCGCTTTCGTCGGGCACTCCAGTTGAGAGGATCTTCCGGGTCATCGCTAGGTCGAGGAATCAACTCGATATCCCCGCTTGACTTTCCAAGTGCGCTTTGCCCAGCAATATCAACGAGATGGACCGTGCCTGGCACAGCTCCTGGATGCGACTTGGATGTCGACATGGCTTCAGTTTTCTTATCAACTTTTACTGGAAAAGAAGGTCGTACGAAGGCAAACCGACTCCTTCAGGTGTGATGACAGTAGTAAACAAATGGGTCAAGGCTTTAAGTTGAGGAGAGAGAACCTAGTCCTAGGTCCCACACGAATTGATATCTCATATATGTCCAGTGGCTACCCGTCCCTGCCATCAATAGTGGGGAGAATTGTTGCATATCTGATTGAAACAGCCAATCCTCGACCGATGTTGCATATCACCGATCCGTTCGGCTTGGTGAACGGCGGGGTTGTTCAGTCAATTTTATCTCACAACCGCTAACGGTCAGCACCTAACCCCGGGAGGTCAGCATTTGGACAATCTCATCCCCGGTTCCCGGTTATCTGCCGGTGATCGACATCACACTATCGGCGTAGACTTATCTCTAGGATCAGGTTGAGCAACACCCGTTTAGCCTTGGCCATGTCCATACGCCCTTGTCTTCTGCTAGATCCACTCGTGATGTGTCAAGAAAATAAAAACCGTTATCATTCAGATCTCTAAATCCTGTGGAGTCATTGCCTCACAATGGGCCGCCAACTTGTAGACGCCCTCATCAAAGCTTATCAAGTGGGATGCTTTAATCTCTTGGTCGGTGGTTGCCGATAACCGCAATGTCTAGCGTCCCCCATTTCCGTCGTGATACGGCGCATGCACTTCCTTATCTCGGTATCGCCCAGATGATCCTGGAACTAATCACAAGTCTTCGAACGAAATAGGTGACCCCTCCCAGCAAACCAATCGTGCGACTACAATGACATAGCACTAAGGCTCCAGAGTTCTGTTTATCACCATGCACGTCATTCATTGCATTGTATGAAACTCCTCACTGCCTGAAGCGACACCATTTACGCGGCATTGGAAATTGATCCTACATCAATTCTATCACCAACGCCATGTCTTCGGTAACATTTCCTTTGATTCAGACAGTTCCTGTTCCTAGTGGCCCTCCGGAGTACCAAGCGAAGGTGAAGTCTATTTTTCAGGACTTCGTCTCCAAGGTACCAAAGGAATATTATATACCTCAGCACTATGTTGACAGCCCACCGAAAAATGTGACGGAAATCCCGAGGGAATGCGGCATCTTATCCGCAGAAGAAATCAATATCACGGAAAACTATGATGCAGTAGGCCTAGCGGAGGCCATCGCTGCACAGAAACTCACTGCTGTTGATGTCGCAACGGCCTTCTCGAAAAGGGCCATAATTGCGGAGCAGGTCACATGCTGTTTGACCGAGTGGTTTATGGACGAGGCAATCCAACGTGCAAAGGAATTGGACGACTATCTAGCATCAACAGGCAAGACGGTTGGACCGCTTCACGGTGTTCCTATAAGCTTGAAAGAACACATGCCGCTCGCAGGACATTGGTCATCTGCTGGTGCTATCAGCACTAGAGTCAAAGACGAACATGACTGCCCACTGGTAGCCATTTTGCGAAAACTCGGTGCCGTGTTCTACTGTAAATCGAACCAGCCACAGTCCCTCATGCATCTCGAGAGTGTTTCGCCATATGGACGCGTTCTGAACCCGTACAACATCAATCTTTCTGCAGGCGGGTCGACCGGAGGCGAAGCAGCTTTGATTGCTCTTCGCGGGTCGGTTCTAGGCGTTGGGACAGATATAGGGGGAAGCGTTCGATGCCCGTCGGGGGTTTGCGGAGGCTTTGGGTTCAAGCCAACATCATACACGCTACCGATGTGGGATCTTTTACACGGAGGAGCAGTGGCCGAGCTCAATATCCTGATTTCCACTGGTCCAATGTGTAATTCCTTGCGGGACATGGACCTGTTTATGGCATCGGTACTTTCTCAAAAGCCTTATTTGGAGGATCCGCGCCTCATTCCAATCCCTTGGACTGGTCTTCAAGGAAAGCTAGGAGCCTCTCCTCTGAAGATTGGCATAATGATGAATGATGGTGCCATTCAGCCTCAGCCACCAGTCACACGAGCGCTTGAGTGGGCCCGTCGGAAACTCCAGCAGTCAAGTCGAGTGGATGTCAAGTCGTACACACCGTACAAAGCAGCGGACGCGATCAAACTCATTCGTAAAGCTTACTGGCCAGACGGTGGCAAGGCTTTGAAAGAACATCTTGATGATGGCCAAGAGCCAATGTATGCTCTTTCACAATGGATAATCAAAGATGCAGAAGGACCGCAGCTAAATGCCCAAGAGATCCATGACCAGAGAATGGCTCGTGACCAGTATCGATGCGAATTCGCCGTGGACTGGAATTCACAAGATGTTGATTTTGTTATTTGTCCTGTATTCGTAGGGCCCGCGTGCGCTCACGATACTTCCTTGTACTGGAACTACACGGCATTATGGAACTATGTGGATTATCCAGGAGCTGTCTTTCCCACACCTATCAAGGCTTTGGAAAAGGGCGAGGAAGAATACGATTCTGCAAATAGCACACCACTGAGCGAGGAGGACAAGCATGTCAGACAATTATGGGCCGAGGGAGACTTTGAAGGGGCACCCGTTGATCTACAAATCGTGGCTAGGAAATACCACGATAACGATCTTTTTGCGGCGCTTAACGTCCTGAAGGATATCTTTGAACTGTAACAGAATGCGGAAAGTTCATCAGTAGGATTCAATGAAGAAGGCTATGCAGAATCTCGGAGTTAGCACTTCGGGAAGCGCAACTCATGAGAGCTTGGGCCAGCCAAACAACGTCCATTCACTGTATACTTCTATTTTGTTCTGTCCTATTTTAGAAACCGACGTCCTGATCCATTGGTGGACGGTCATAGCCGCAGTTTGGCTTCTTCTCACAGTATGTCATTGTATGAATGTATCTCAACTTTCCCTTCTCTACACGGAATTCGTGGCTGTCCGGAGCATTCCCAATGCTTCCGAACTCCAGAAGAATGCTTACAACTCCAACACTTTCGTCAATCACATACCGCCGATTGGGGTTAGTGTAGTTAAAACCAGGAGGGATTCCCACATTGCAGGTATCGTTCGACAATCCGCGGCCTGTGTATGCACCCCCCTCTAACCGAACACACGGTGATCCCCACGGCACGGGTAAACTCGTGTTCTTGAAAACATCCAGATAGGCGTCACCTGCTGCTTGGATTGTCTCTCGACTATCGCGCTCCATCAATGGTATCTCGCCCCAATCTTCTAAGAGTGTGTAGTGCAGAGTATGCGAGGAGTTAAATAGCCAATCGTCGGTGGTTGTTAAGATTCGGTCGATCTTGGAAATTTTACTGCTATTGTGCCAAATTTGAGCTCCAATGACCCACGGGCTAATTGGATCTGTCGCGATTAACTCTGTGAATGTCGCACACTGCGTAAAATCATAGATACTATGACTGCGGTCGACTCTGATAGATTTCGAAAGGGTGCTGTTGCTGATGTCCACAATCTTGCCATTCTCGAGGTAGGTCACGTTAATATCTAGCACATTTCCAAGCCACTGGACCTGACCAGTGCTTTGAGCAGCAATATAACGATCTATTCCCTCTTGTAGTAGGGCGCGGCTGCATTTTGCAGCGCTAGCTAGCGAGAGCAAGGAGCTGACCATCAGCCATTTTATAGAAGAATCACGAAGCATAATACGCATTGTCTGCATCAAAAGAGAAAGCGATAGAAAGTGAGGAGGCTTTTTGAAAAATTCGGGTTGATGATACCTTGGGATTCTTATACCCTATGATCCTCCAATTGCTAGATCAAATGCCGGCTATGGTTTGAGGCGGCTGAATTGCCCTCCCATATAGAATAAGATCCCCACATACCTTAGATATTGAGGGATAGTAACCTTGGGCTCCTATTTGTCACCCTAACTATGCAGCTCGGAAGCGCTCTTTATATCTGAGATAACATTCTTCCTATTCAAGGCTGGTGAAATCTTAAAAGACCTGACAAAGATGGCCCGTTGTGAAGTTAAGTGCGATATATACATTTGTGTTGAAGAGCTCACGATTTCAATCCTTTGCAATGGCCTACGCCGAGGGCTCACTATACACATGCGCAAAATCTACGGGGCTACCGAAATTCGGGCTTCCATCGCTATGAGTTCCCAGAAGCTGGACCATCGTATATCGGCTGTTGTCACAAGCTCCGGCGCTATTAGAGGTCGCATGGTAAGTGATCCATGTTTGGCTGCGGTCGGGGCTTTGAAAGAAGCCATTGTGACCGGTGCCGTAGTTGCCATTTGCGCTTGAAAGAACGCAGCCGTTATGCTTACTCCACGCAGATGCGCTGGTCGGCGTGGTTGAACCGTCCCAGGTCAGCAGTCCTAGACAATAACTTGCGGTCCAACAGTATGAAGCCGAGTATGAGATGTATGTCTTGCCGCCAAAGTAGAGTGCTGCAGGCCCTTCGTTGACCGGCGTACCTACGGTCTCAAAGGCCAGAGTCGGCTGTGAAATAACGTAGATTGATCCCGTCAGAGTGACATAATCGGATCCAAGCTTTTGCAAGCATATTGACTGATAAGTAACGCCGTGAAAGCAGGAGAACATTAAGTAGTTGCCGTAGCTGCTGAAGCGCAAGACCGAGGCATCAATAGCCCATTCCGTAGTAAGTTGTGCAGCGTAGCTAAAGCTGTCCCATGGAGTAGCGCCGCCTGACCACATGTTAGCCATGCTAATAATGACCATGTACTTCTGATATTCCTATACCTTTCAGAACATGGAGTCTCTGACCACCTAAATCGTCAGAGTTCCCCGCGGTGTAGTAGATATACCAAGTGCTGCCGAGATAGTGAACTTCTGGCGCCCAAACGTTGCAGCACCGAGTGGAAGTGCTTGTGGAGTATACCACTTTCTTGGTAGCGGTCTTAAGACCCTCAATAGTCGTAGATCGAGCAATCTCAATATCCGTCCAAGTCGTTGTCATGAGATAGTAATAGCCTCCTGTGTAGACCAAAAAGGGGTCACTGCCGCCAGGGTTTCGAACAGGATTCGTGAATGCAGCTGCAGAGCTAATGAGGCTCGCAGCAGCCAGAACCGCTGTGCAGATATAACTCAACCACATGGCAATTCAATATTGTGTTTGGACTGTTTGAATACGTTCCATTTACTCTACGAAGCATTTGTTTTGAACATTTACAGACCGTTGGCACCTGTATTACTTAAACAAGATCACTAACTTATAACCGCCGGTACAGCATTGACCGAGCAAAGATAAACAGAAACACGACTAATTATCGAATTGATCATCTAGCGTGTCATTGCATATTTGAAGGAGTAGGGCAAGATTTCTTGTGGTGCTAAAGACGTGACCGGAAAATAAAGCACCGTGGAATTTCTAGATCCGATTAGTGGAATTTGGAGACACGCGGAGACAGTGGTCAGTTAGTGAGGCCTGTTGTTGGGGGCACTCAAGAGGGGCACTAACAACCTTGTTCATAGTCGTTCCCAGTCTCGGAAAAACAATCTGTTTCTGCACATAAGCCTCTTCAGGAGTCAAGTTTGGGAGTACTTTCCATTGTTAAGTCATATGTAGCTGGCTAGCTTGCTACCATGGCAATCATTTCTTAAGGTGTTATCAACCTGTAGATGTCAAGACCGTCTAATGTTCATGATATGTAATCCCTTTTTTATTCCTCAGCCACAACCACTACCATCTTTGCTCCGCCGCCACCCGCTTCCAAGATCTCGTGTACTTGTTGTATATCCTCAAGTTTGAACTCCCTGACCGGGATCTTGATTTTCCCTTCATCCGCATCTTTCACGAGCTCCTCGAAAGGTAATGCTAGAAAGTCTTCGGGACCCCCACTATAGCCAGTGAGCCTACTGCGATTGCGGAATGCAAAGACGTCGAAGTCATTCAACAACCATTCGCCGCCCTGCATTCCCGATATACATACTGTTCCCTGTGGACGGACGCATTTCAGACTGTCCCGGACCACGGAAGCTCCTACAAGCTCGAGCACCTTGTCGAACACACCGCCGGCACTGCTTGCTACCTCATCCGCGATGGAGCCGTTGTCAATGAACACCTCGTCAGCGCCTGCGCCGTGAAGCATGTCTATTCGAGATGGGTTTCGGGTTGTCGCGCCTATACGACTTGCACCAAGTTTCTTGAGAAGCTGGAGAGCACATAGACCAATCGAGCTAGTAGCTCCGCGCACGAGAACAGACTCGCCCTTTTGCACGTCGAGGCCGGATGTGAGGGAGCCCCATGTGGTCTGGAACATCTCCGGGAACGATGCCAACTCGGCAACCTTGAGATTCTGAGTGTCCGGGATGCGCCGGATGTTCTCCTGAGCTACACAGGTATATTCGGCATATGAACCACTCAGGGAACGGCCGAGACCACCCATGCAGGTGGCTACTCGTTGGCCGATCGGCACGGGCGGCGAGGTGGTTGACGAATGGTAGCCGGCGACGGTTCCGATGCACTCAATGCCAACGACGCGAGGGAAGGAAACATTGGGAGAGAGACCTTGACGAGTGTACATCTCTGGGACAAATTATCAACGCCTGTTGCATGGATGGAAGTTGGGGTGCAATGCTCACCAGCCCTGTTGATGCCGAAGCCCAGTATCCTGATTAGGACCTGCCCTGGCTGGGGGACAGGAAGGGGCACATCTTGCAACTTGAGGACAGAAACAGGCCCAGGAGTGGCGCAAACCACCGCGCGCATCGACTTTGGTAAGGTAGCCATGATTGAAGGAGAGGTCATGAAGAAAAAGGGAGAAGACGTTTATGCATCTGGTCGAATGGCGCCGTGGGTGAGTCTTTACGCCACTAAGAAGGAGGGGCAGTAATTCTACTTCAGCAGCTTAATACACGAAGGGGGGCTCTCCGCCATACTTCTCAGCTTCTATCATCATTGGCTGAAGCTTGGCGTCTTGTACAGGAAGAAAGAAAACAAACGTCGAGAGGAACCTGGATTGGCATTACTGCTTGTCATAACTAGGGGTTTCGTAGATTTGATTAACAGCCTTCCATATATGATATGACGTCTAAGCTAGCGATGGTACCTGAGCTACCTATAGGAACCACTTATTGGGCCTGCGGCATTAGTCTGGTCAAGAGGCGGCCGGGGTATCATTGTTTATCCTCGATGCCAGGACTACAAAGCAGAGCCGCGACCAATTGGGGTTCTACAGGGTCATGACATCGGACTTTGGCATTAAACATGTGGACCGAAGGCCGATGGAACGGAGGTAGACGGGGATGAATATCAGGCTCATTAGCACAATGCCGCGGATCATCCGTGGTGACCTGATCAGGCCACGCGCTAGGGGTTAAGAGGAGGCACGCGAGGTCACGGGACATGTTCCAATGGATATTTGAGTATCATGGCTTTTGCCACGTTTCTTGATGCCTCCGCGGACCTGGCTTGTTCAGCAGGTTGAGGACGTTTCATTTTCTGGGTTGGCAACCGGCGAGTACAATGTACCATGCGGTGAGTTACCTGCCAATTGAAGCAAGGATTCGTAGTGGAATGTCTATGATGGAATATGTACGGTAGACTGGCTCATCACGGCTTGCTCTATCGGTGATAAGCTTCTTGGTCGACCCAAGCACAGCATGACAGCATTTGGAGTTCGGAGTTCGGTGACCAGTGACTATCATACGCTGAAAGCAAAGCTGTGGGACGAAGGATCAAGTGCAGGTCCAGTTGTAGAGTGGTAGCATAGTAGATGGTAGGCGTGCATCAAACAGCATCGGATTTATCGGCCGAGCCAAAGAGAGATGGGCAGGATGAATTGCCGAGGGCTAGAACATAGCAAGCATAGGTAGGTAGCTAAAAGCCTTAAGGAAAGAGAAAAGAGCCACAGCAGTCCCATTGCCGTAGTTGAGTCAAAGAATGCAATCCTTTGGAGAGCGGGATGACGATTTCTTCTCCCTCGAGCTCCCCCCCACACCCACACACCGAGCTCCTGATAGTCCGCCGAATGCGGTGAATGAAAGATCAAAGATCAACGGCACTTCACCTTTTGCATTGCGATCTTTTGCTGTGGAGAACTGTTGCGTTTATCGTAACGGTATACTATAGCACCTCTCAGCTCGAAGTCTTTCTTCACATTGTTTCTGACTGCCCAAACACGAAGTGAAGACACCCGTTTCCCCAACGGACGGAAAACAAGCACACAATCTCCTTCAGCCAATCGGCCTCGGAAGCTGCTTCAGCGCCGTCACCGTCACCATCCGTCGCCGGCTCTGATGAGCCCCGCACCTCCGATGAGCGACTGACTCAGCAAAGAGAAGAGTCAGAGTCACAGTCCCAGTCCCAGTAACAGTAGGGGCATCAGCAATCAGGCCTAGGTCAGCTCCCGGCGATTCACAAATCCAGCGCTGCAAGCCAACGGTTTGCGGGTTGGACTAATAAGAGACTCTTAACCGGCGAGCCGAATCCAGCAAGGTAGCATCCGGAAAGGACGGTGCTGGACTGAATTGAGTCTTGTGCCTAGATTCTGGGTTCTGGACTCTGGATTCTGGATCCTGACGGGCTTCTTCGGGACCGAGCGTTGGTGCGCACTTGTATGCGGCTGGCTGCCAGTGCCTAACGTTAACTAACGTCAGTGAACTGGCTGACTTTGAATGCCCGGAAAGGCGCGGTGTACCGGTATTATTATTCTTGTTGCATGTGCCGTCATCCATTTTCGTCGCCGCAAAACAAAGCCAATAACCCGGAGGGTCAGATCAAGGCCCGACAAAAACCCTCAATCTCAATACCACGAACAAACTCGTTCTCACGACAACCACAACGCGAATAGGAACAGGAAAAGAAAAAGAAAAGGAAACGATCTCGACCGTCAAACTGAGCCTGGCGGAATTCAGCAGACGCGGCGCAGTGGTGCACGGATTGGCCACAATCTTGCGACGGAGGTTAAACGCTTGTGTCCGCTCCCTTGGCGCTGCTGACGACGATTCAAATCATCCGGACTCCCCCACCGATTCCGTAGCACAACTACGCAGACCGTAACCCACGCGCTCCGGCAGTTCGGTCGCGATGGAGTCCAGCCCGACTACTCCGGACGGCGACTTTGCCGACGATGCTTTTGCCAACGACAGCCAGCCCGCCCCGAGCGTCGCCTCGTCTCAGCCGCACACCTATCCCAACCTCGCCGGCGCCTCCGTCTATACGCCCACCGCCACCCCGAGCGCCCAGCTGAATCCTCGAAGCTGCGTGACCTGCCGCCGGCGAAAGGTGCGATGTGACAAGCACATGCCCTGCTCCAACTGCAGGAGAGCCCAGATATCATGCATCTTCCCTGCTCCCGGGCGTGCGCCGCGACGGCCCCGACCCAAGGACCCAAATGCTCCCCCGAAGCAGCCCTCGAGCGAGCGCGAGATCGAGTTGATGAAGCGCCTGCGCAAGCTGGAGGGCATCGTGGAAGATCTCAGTGGACAGATCGAACTCGAGACGGCGAGAAATCACTCAAGCAGTGGCAACTCGCCCGAGGCGGCAAACACTGGCTCAGACACCCTCGCGGGATCCGGTGGCTCCTCGAATGAGAGGGCAGCCAGTGTCGGCGGCGGAAGCAATGCCAGCCAGAACTCGCCGGCCGCCCTCGGTCGTGCGAGCAGCGAGACTCCCGCACATGGCAGGTTGATCTCAGGCCAGAACACAAGCATGGGTCCTTTGCACAGAACGGCTTCCGACGTACACAAGAAGTTTGGGAGGCTGGTGATCAATGATCATGGCAAGACCAGATACGTCAGTAGCGCGTTTTGGTCGAAGATTACAGATGAGGTACGTCTGCCATATAGTTACTGGAAACAAGACCTGCTTTGCTCGATATGCTAACTTGCGGACTAGCTCGACGAATTACGAGCCGAAACGCAGAAGCTTACAGACGAAGATTCCGATTTATCAGATGACGAGAGTACACCGGCAACAGCGGTCGAGCAGGGCCCTGGAGACCATCACGCCTTCATCTTCGGGTACAGGTCAGCCGACGTCGACCTCCGATCTCTCCATCCCCTCCCCTCGCAAATACCATACATATGGCAGGTCTTTCAAGAGAATGTAGATCCCTTGGTCAAGATTCTGCACATTCCCACCGTCAGCAAGTTGATCCGAGAGATTCGGAATAACCTAGATACAATGACACCGGCAACGGAGGCCCTCATGTTTTCCATATACTACTCGGCCATCACCTCCTTAGACGATGACGATGTAAGACTATCCTTCTAAACCACGATGATACAGGCACTGACGCCTAGCAGGTGAAACTAAATTTTGGCGTGGATAAGCCGGTTCTCATCTCACAATATCGATTTGCATTAGAGCAAGCTTTAGCCAAAGCTGGGTTTTTGACCACTAATGATATCGTTGTGCTCCAAGCATTTGTCCTGTTTCTTGTCCTTGTCCGACGACACGATGATACAAGATTTGCTTGGACTTTGACTGGCCTTGCGATTCGCATAGGCTCATCTCTCGGCCTCCATCGCGATGGGTCTGCATTCCCCGGTCTTACGCCGTTCGAAATCGAGATGCGAAGGCGCCTTTTCTGGGCTATAATCGTCCTTGACCTGCGCTCAGCTGAGGATCAGGGGACAGATTTGACGATTATGGATCGCACTTATGACACCAACTTCCCTCTGAATATCAATGATTCGGATATTGATCCTGACAGCACGGAGTTCCCACCGCAGCGCGAGGGCACAACGGACATGACGTTCTGTCTCATACGATATGAAATATGTTCGCTGGCGCGCAGGTTACACACAGTCTCCTCGGCCATGGCTCCCGTGTGCCCCAAAGACCATGCTAGCACGCTAGAGGAGCGAGAGCGTATGATTAGGGAGGTCTACAACCGCGTCGAAACTCGATATCTCAGCGATCCCAAGTCAGAGTCGAATCCCATGTTTTGGACGGCCGCACAAATAGCCCGTGTCATTGTCGCGAAGATGATACTACTCATCTATCAGCCGATTCTGTTCCCTGGTCCTAATGATGAGCATCTGTCTGGCGAGATCCGCAGTCGTCTATTTAGCGCATCCATCGAGATCTTTGAGTACAATCATCTTCTCAACACCGACCCTAGGTGCCGACAGTGGAGATGGCTCTTCCAAACATACACTCAGTGGCATGCCGTGGCCTATATCTTGATGGAAGTGACGAAGAGGCCATGGGGCCCAACCTCTGAGCGGGCATGGACGGCTCTCAATTCCTCCTTCACACAACCAAACCCCTTAGAGGCCGAGAAGCTCGATGGCCCCTCGGCTGTCTGGGTACCTTTCAAGAAGCTTTACTTGAAGGCCAAAAGGCATCGGGATGCAGAGGTTCAACGGCTCATTTCCGATCCAACGGCCGCACAGGCATTAGAGTTAGAAGATCGCGTCACGGAAGTACCAGCAAGTTTCGCTGCCATGCCAGGTCCTATAAAGAGTGCAATTGCCAATGAGCGTTGGCGCAGGCTGGTCAACGCACCACCACTACCGCCAGGTGCCGTAGAGCAAAGAGAGCACGAACTGCAGGCTCATGCGGCATCACGGGCGAAGGAGGAGCCTCCGAATATGCCGCCCACAAGCATGGGCCGAACCCCGAGTGCAGCGCCCAATTCGGCATTGGAGTTTCTCGATCATGCAATGGCGCAACCTTCATTCTCGCCGGAAACTTTCTGGCCGATTGCTCTATCGACTGCATTCATGGATGACGCACGCCAGGCTGCCTTTGGCTACATGGGCGGTAACATTCCGAGACAGGACGATACCTTGGCCAACTTTGCGCACGGAAACACTCAGAGCGACGCCAGAATGAATCCGCTGGCCCAAAGCCAGAATCCATCTTCATCCACGCCCCTGGTTGACGCTATCAAGACTACCAATCCCCCTCCGTGGCTGTGGGGCGAGACCACAGCTCCAGCAGCTGGAGCGGCCGGGTTGCCCAACATGCAGGTGGACGATGTCGATATAAACATGGACGAGGATTTTAACTGGCAAGATTGGGGCCAGAGTATTCCAGGCACTGGATTTTGGAGCGGACAGGCGCTATGAAGGCTCACCTGCGACGTGCGATATGACTGACGTGAACTTATGGGAGGTTGGGTAATGGGACAAGTGTAATGATACCCTTGGCGATTTGAAGCATATATTATCAAAAATCACACTCATCTCCATGTGACGACCTCTAGGTCAAATTTTGGTTGAATCTCAATCCTGATCGTCTCGACGTTGTCTTATGTGTACATGATTATAGACAGGCAGACTCGATACGCCTTGTACTAACTATTCTGCCAGTTGAAGACGATGTCCATTTTTGAAGATCGAGTTGACAGATACCAGTTTGATACACACGAGGGAGCATTCCATTTCGACAAGCACGGTGCCCGTTCCATACTCATGCGCTCCGATCCTTGATAAAGCCTTTTCTTGGCATCATTTGCTATCATTGCTATCACAGGCCATTTCTATGAGATTAAATGAGAGGATCTCCAAAATGAAATACAGAGCCCCATACGGCATCGACTGACTGGATCGGATCTGAACTGTGATCCTCCGTTCACAGTAGTTGCTTAGTGAAAACACCCTGAGGATCCCATATTTTCTTCAGATCCTTGAGCTTCTCCAGTCTTTCAGCCCCTTTATACCGTTGCTCGATTGGTATCTCTCGTGAGAAGTTCTGGTAGAACGAGTATTTCTCCTTTGGCTGATTTCGGCGCACGTGGTCCATAACCTCCTCCACAATAACTGCCGCTGAGTTCACCGATTCTTCGTCTGAGGCCCATGAAAGCATATGGCTGCAGCATGTCAGTCACACTGAAAATAATTCAGTTCCACAATGGTAGGAAATACGTACGCATAAGCCTTCACATCTCGATGCGCGAATGCCGTCTCCTTTTCCGCTGGCACCTCATCGAAAGCTCCGTCACTCGTAAATTCAATGACGAACCCGCTTCCCTTTGCAGTAGGAAACTGCTCATCGATTTTTCTCTTCTGTTCCAGGTAATATACCATGTCTTCTGGTTGAAATTGAGCCATGTCTGTAAGACCTGGAGCATACCACTTCTTGTATCCTCCTTTAGCTTCGAAAGCAGCAAAGGCGTCATTGATTTTCCCGTACGGCAATTCTTCATCAGCAGCGACCACATCGGGCCCTATATCAATGAAAGGCTGGAAGGCCTTCATTGCGTCTTCTTTAAGACCAAGATAGGAACCAATAACCATGACAACGGGCTCGAATGTCATAGGCGAGGGTAATATCCCTGCTAAACAGTACGACCTTTCGGCGCTTTTAACAGAGATTGCAGCTTTTGCAACCTCAAGCGCCTTGGATGGATCGAAAATCCAGGTCGAATGCCAAACTAGGCCTTCAGGATTACCAATTATGGATATTGGGTGTACCTTGACAGTAAGAGAGGTGATGACGCCGAAAAATTGGCCGGCGCCCTTGATGGCGTACAGAAGCTCTGTATTTTCGGACTCGGAGACTGTAATCAGCTCACCCTTTGCGGTAACGAGCCGAGCCGCGACCACATTGTCGGAGCCGTAGCCCAACAGTGGTGCCAGGATTGTCAACCCGCCGCCAACGGTCGAAGGTATGAAACCAACCGTGTTAACAGTTCCCGTAACTGGACACAATATCGATTAGAACCTCACACAACCTTCTTGCCTAGAAGACTGGCGATTTCCTACCAGCAACAAACCCTTTCGACCATGTAGCGTCCATCACATCGCGAATCTGGGCTCCCGCACTCGCAGTGGCGGTTCCTTTCTCGACATCGACGTCCACCTTTCGAAGAAGACTGAGATCTAATACAAAGCCATCTGAGCCAATCGTGGACCACGCACTGTGACCACCTGACTTGGGTACAAATGGCACCGACGAGCTGACAGCTGCTTTGACCTTGAAAAGTACGATCAATTTCTCGTGGACTTTGTGTTGCTTGACCTATAACACTCACTGTTTCTACAATATCATCTTCGCTGGCGGGCATGACAATCGCAAACGGGACTTTCTTGTCGATATCAGTCCATCGTGCGAGGAGTTCCTGAAACTCTGTGTCTGAGGGATCAGTAAGGACTTTTGCCGCATCCGAGAGGTCCAGCGCCTCCAACATCGATGCGACCGCCATGGTACCTGGCTCTCCTCTTGAAGTTGTCCTTGCTTGAGGTCGGGCTAAACGATCGGGCCACAGCTTGGCATATGCTAGAAAGTATATAACCTGATGTCATTTGAGAAAGTAAGACCGAGTTGGGCCATCTTATAGTCCGAGAGCCTATGCATCTCGCTAGTAGGCTTTGCGCTTGGGAAATAAGGTGCTGATTCGGAATTCCGCACTACTGTTGAGGCATCCTCTCGAATGGAATGAAACCGCCGTACACCAATCATATCCGCTAGTGTACGAAGAAACCGCTTCGTTTGGGCAAGCTGACACCAGGTCTGATAAGTGCTCCGAACCAAAAGAGTCAGCAGTAAGCAACGCCCTAGTTTGTTGCAAGAATAATTAACCGGGAAGCAGACACCTTCTTAATACAGCAAAAAGTTTTTGTAAACCGTTCGGCCCTTTATGATCTTTAGAATATAACGTAAGCGGTTCAAGATTGAAGAATGTTTTTAAGAGTTAACCCCGTGGATAGTAAGGTTGCACTTGTATAGCCACGGAAATAATTGGCGCATTGTCTCAAAAGTCCCTCGATGCTCATGTTTACGCATCTTACAAACTACAATACAGTTCTACCATGCTTGTTTCTTGTAGAAAGGAGAACTCAAGTTAGAAAGCCCCGGACACCGTCAATGAAACATCAGTCTGGATCCGGCCAAAGTGTTGCAGCAAATCAGGCCGCCGAGTCGCATTGTGCACGACAAAAACCGACCATCTTCTATTCAACCAATCATATCCTTGCATTATTCTTTCCGTATCTCATGCTTTGAGTTCGTGGCGATGAATGTAATAGTCTCGACTATCCTGCCTATGTGGTTGTTGTATGCTCTCGCCTCGTGGCTCCCTCTTCTTCCTCTTCCTCAACTGCACACAGAGAGTGATGGCAGCAATAAGTAGACTTGGGATCCCCACTCCAAGGCTTGCGGCGAGAGCTACAATGTCTGATCTGCTCAATCCATCATCCGGAGACTTCTGGCTGTCAGCCGATGTCGGCTGGCTGGATGTTGCAGTCTGTGATGCCGTAGTGCTGGCTCGTGATCCAGGCGTGGACGCCCCAGTACCAGTTGCATTCGTTTCGTCTGTGTTGGTTGTTGCTGCAGTCGCGTCAGACATCGTCGTCGCTGCTGTTGTAGAAGCGGCCACGTTCGCAGTTAAACAGTATGCGTCATAGAGTCCTATCATGCTGTTTAGATCGGTCGTCCACCCAGGGTCGTTCTCGGCACATCCGCCGCTGATGCAAGTCGAGAGGTAGGCAGAAGCCGAGTTGGCCAGTCCTGTATTACAGTAGCAGCCGTTGATCGATGCGCATCCGCATCCCAATTCGATGCCCAGATCGTAGTATCCTGCGTTGACGCCACATCTGAATACTCCATCATACGCAATGCAATCCGCAGCACATCTTTTCGCAGTTGACCAGGCAATGTCGCTCCAGATTGACACGGCCGCAAGGGGTCCATTAGTGGTCTCAGCGGCGGCAGCTACAGCAAGCAATATTGAAATGGCGATGGTGAAGTCAAAAGCTGTAGACCTCCTGACCCTGCGAGACATTATGTCTTCGCTCTTTCAAAATGAGTAGAGCCGCGACCTTAATCCGGTCAATTCTCAGCACAGTGGATTATCAAGAATATATCTAAATTAGATCACTATCAACAGAGACGGCAAGACGCGCTGGATCAATCCGGAGGCGTACGAAATCCGATGCTCTGCAGGGAGGCTGATTCTTGGCAGCTTGGCAGCACGCCCTAGTCGTACTCATACCAATAGGTGTATCAGATACTGGTGGTCATTGCAAGCCACCAGATGGCTTGACTGACTGTCTAGTCAAACCTGACCAACCAGTGGCTTGCTATCAATTCTCGACCTAATTCAGGTGGAAGGGATATCGTATTTTGCCACAGTTCCATTTTGTTGGCCTCCCTGCCCCTTAATGGCCTTGACTGAACTGATTCACCATGGGCCATGGACGTGCTTAATGACGTGCCACTAAAAAGTGAGTGGCATTGAAAGTGCTTCACAATTCTACATCTCTATAACATTATGATCCCAAATCCTCGCCTATCTGCAGAAGAGAAGCTTCAGCTTCGACCTCCTTTAGTCCTGAGGGTCGCGGAAAGTTCGGCCACTTCTCGAATATATTTGGAATTCCCACGCCCTTCTGCCATTCCAATAGAGGGCTGTGGGCGACACATTGACGCTTGATGTTAAAATCAGGGTAAGGATGTTGCTGAGTTTTCATCCAGACATGAGGAACTAGATCTAGACTAGGTGAACAAGTGAGAGCCTGGAGTAAGATATCAAGACAATGACTTAGATGTGCCTTGTGTCGTTCTGGCATCGTAGACCTACACAAAGTTATCCCAGGTGACTCCTGCAGTCGCACGTCTCTACTCACAAATTGGTATACTTGTGGGACCAGTAGTAGTCAAAGTAGGCATATTTCCTTATGGCATTGAGACAATGGAGATGATGTTGTCCATCTAACTCCACAAGGTACAAATCAGAGCCAACTTCCCATTCCTCCGGTATCTGAACCGCTGTGTCTGGGTTTTTGCCAATTCTTCTAATATCATCAGCCGTTACACCAAAATATTCAATCTGTGCGACGCTCTCCCAAGCTTGATCAACTTCTGGGCTGGGCTCCTGTCTGTAAATGACTGGTGGGCTGTAATCATTAAAGAGAGCACCTCGAACTTGATTTTGCTGAAGCTGAATGGGGATAGAGCGAGAGATCTTGCCTGCGGTGAATCGTTAGCAAACTGAAGTATTTCTGTCATCCTCGACAGGGTCACGTACTGTATGGTGATAGTCGGATACCCGAGTGATAGAATTCATTTCGCCACGCCCAGCTGACGAAGGCCAAAATACAAGACGCAACGAATATCAGACAATTCAAAGTGAAGAATAGCTTAACCTTAAGGGTATAGTTGCAAAAAACATTACGACAAGATTGAGGGCGATGATGTCCCAGTACATCTTCCGACGAGTCTTCACTCGCGAGACTATTGTAAAACTCTTTCATAGCATATCTATTTAGCATATTCAGTCGGAGAACACAGCATCAAAGTTTTTTCAAGGAAGAAAAGGGCTGCAATGTTGCGATTCGATATTGCAGGTTTCCATCATCTGACAACAATATGGCATCGTGCTGGAGGATTCGCCAAGGTCGGCACGAGCGTTTGCGATAGGGCAAACGTCCGGAGGATAATGAGGGGTTAGATAACCGACCATACCGTTGTCATTGAACAATGACTTCGCCTCCGTACAAGGGTCTCTTGTGCCAGCGCTAGATTGAGATTCGAATGCTTGGCAAGAAGTCTGGCCTCCGGCAGCATCGGTCTTGACCTGCCGTGTACAGTCAAGCCATTCTTGGCCCCCGGGTGTGAATGTCGTCAATCACCAGACCTGCTTACAGAGGCAAAGACTTGCACTTAGCATTTCTCTACCAGAGTTGATCGGGTAAAGTCTTAGAATCCTTCAGATTGCAGCACCTTCCAGTAACAGCGAAACACAAGCCAAGACGTCGTACGAAGCATGAGGGCAGGTGAAAGAAACTCCGGAGACCGTGGTAGAGCAGTGCCCAGATAGAAGGCTCCCGCCGATTTCAATAGCCAGTCGCGGCAAGCACAAAACGTATAACTTTCTCAGCACTGGGCACGAACCTTATAAAGTCCAAGCGGCCGGAGCTTGGTTCCGTTTGTTGAGCACAATTTACTCTGCCATCTTACTTTCAGGTTCAAGAGTCATCGGATTTGTCACAATGCATACAAAAGCTATCTTAGGAGCTATTCTAGCTTGTAGCACTATTGTTACTGCGCTTCCTGTTGAAGCATACGGCCCTCCTGCCAATATCATCGAGAGGAAAAGTGAGACAGCTGAGGCGTATGGCCCACCGTACAACATCATCGAAAAGAAGGCAGAAACGGCAGAGGCATATGGACCCCCTTACAACATCATCGAGAAGAAATCAGAGACAGCCGAAGCATACGGTCCACCGTATAACGTAATTGAGAAAAGGTCCGAAACTGCTGAAGCGTATGGCCCACCTTACAATATCATCGAGAAAAAGTCGGAGACGGCAGAAGCTTACGGTCCTCCGTACAACATCATTGAGAAGGAATAGACATTGAATCAAGCCTGTCATGAAATTCAAATTCCTTTCTACCAGCAGACGAGAATAATTAGAATATAGCCTATAGTAGATAGGCGCTTGGCAAAGCTTAGCCTTCCCTTAGAGGATTATAATTGATGACATTCCTGTTTTGAAAATTGATATTCGGAAGTCGTTTCGATGAGCGCGAAATTACAACATACGAGCTTTCTGAAAGAAATCCATGTGCCAGTCTCAATCATCAATCATTAACACTTTATTTCTATATATTGCATGGTCAAGGGGGTTCCCACGACAGTTGGGTTGACTATTGCCTGGTTAGGGACGACGAATTCCCCCTAGAAGAGTCTGAAGAGGACACTATTGTTCATTAAAGCAAAAAACAAAGACCCAAATTCTATAAATCAAATGTCAACACCAGCCATTTTCCATGGGTCGTTATGAACGACGTAGTCAGATAGATAACAGACTCATACTAGGGTCTCGATAATCAACGGTGCCTCGCCTCTGATGTTGCGCCACCACTCACTCTGTTGTACAAGTTCTCCTTCCTCACCACCGAGTAGACTCCAATACTTCTTTAGAAACCATGCCTTTGCCTCCCAGCTGCGGTTGTCCCATGGGGTGCCATTCGAGACGTATCCAGTAGATGCATCTCGGTCCTTTCGGCTAAGGCCCGCTCCTCCCCAGCACACTAATCCGGTCACCGCATCCCGGAGGAACTCATCCTCGTCCACCTCCTGCTGGCGAAGGATGAGATTCTTTCTTAACGTTCGGAAAGGCAGGACATCAATGTATGGCGGGTGATCGACGGTAATTTGTTCACTGCTTGGCCGTAAGTCTGGCTTGAGTGTCTTGAATATTCTCTGCACTGTGCAAATCATGTCTTGCTTGGTCGTGTCATCTGCGGACGCACGGATTGGCCGATAGAACGGCGAGGGCCCTTCGTCCTCACACATCATCCCCTCCGTCATGCCGACGTGCATTCTCAAAGAGTCCATCGCAGTCAATGTACAGATCGTCTCCAGGCGAAGATGGTTGGTATATGGATCTGGAGGAGGTGAGATCGGTCCGACTCTGAGTATTCTGACCTCAACAGAGTTAAATGAAACGCAATCCCGCGTCTGAACTTGAATATGTGGGTTGGGGCAATTACACTCGACAGTAGTGGTCAAGTAGAATTCATCAAGACTGTCATTAGATCGGTTATTTCCTCCAATTGACGGATGAAGATGCGATAAATGTCCCGATGCTCCCTGTGCCGATAGAGGAGTCTCCGAAGACGATAAATGTTTAATGGTGTCTGAGATGGCTAACGTTGATGGGGAGGCATCTGAGGGTGAGAATTCAGAAGTGTAGTCCCAGAGCGTAGGATCCCAATTGCTTATCGACGACATGGCTTTGTCTGAGGGTGTGAGATGAGTTGTCAAATCCCAGAAGCCCAGCGACGATGTCGTGCTGTCTGATTGTTGGAGAAAAGATTGAGAGCCCAGGGAAGCTACCATCGCTGAGCCTGTGATTGAGAAGTCCGCAGCATCATGCCCCAGGATAGTGTCGGATTGCACTGTGTCCGTTGTCGGGGAGTCCTGTGCTACCGATGATTCAAGCGCATCAAGCTTTCCTAGACGCTCACGAAGTCTCTCTCCTTTGAAGGCCATGATGATTAGTAAATTTCGCGATGAGTGTTTGCCCGATCTCTGTGTAAGATCCACTTTGCACTCACTGTATTTCCGCTGAGCTATGATGTTCTGTTGTCGGCGCTTTTCAGGATCGCGGCGGGTTGGATTTCGTTTTTTATTTCCTATGCTCTCCTTCCACGCATTCTCCTCCGTCGCATCTCGTGGCATCGTGTAGTTCTTGCTCTTTCTGCGCTCTTTTCGTTGGTAAAGATGACGGATGCACAAATTGGAAAGGTAAAGGTTGGACGGGACCGCTTCCACGGGGCATGCGGAGTAGTGGACATTTTCGGCGAGTCAGATGGTTGGTTGCCTGACACTTGTTAGAGACACAATCCTACCGTGCACAGCGATGTCAATTGAGCAGCAAGATGAGAACCCACAAAACCCTATAAATGTATTGCTGTTTGTTTGACAATGGATTAAAACAGCATAATACGTGGCAGAATTTGAAGAGGTCTAAACTCAGGTTGAATGACCAGTTGTATCGCGGCGACAGCATCTGGAGAGCTATGAGTTACAGAGCGCCCCTGTAATGAAAAACTGAGCCACAAGTGAATGGCTGACGTTAGCCACTGGCATGTGGCGGAGTTTGGCTGACGGGAGCCATTTATTGGCGGACTCTGACCTTCTACCTGCCCTTCTGGATCTGGAACCGAAGCAATTGCTCGGATCGCGTTATCCATCGCGAATGGGATGAAAGCGAGATGATTGCGCTGGATCGCGTTATCCATTTTGGTCTTGGATTCAGGAGTGGGAAACGAGAGCCAGAAGGCTGGTCTCTTTAGGCATTGTGCCGATTGCGCTTGCTTTCTCAGCCTCATCAAAGATGTTAGCTATAAGTATAATTTACATATTTGAGAATGTCCAGTGGAAATAACTAAATGACAACTATTGCAATCATGAACGCTGCAAATGACACTGGGAGCGTTTCAGCTTCTAGCTCTGGCGTTGAGAAAAGAGAAGAGGAGGTGCATCAACTCGCCCGACAGTTCACAGAGCAGAGCAAACAGAATGCCCAGACCACAGCGGGACAGAATCCCTTTCATGCAGAGAAAGGATCAGCTCTGGATCCCAATGGAGATAACTTCAATGCCTGGGCATGGTGCAAAGCCATGTTGCAGATACAAACCGAAGACAAGCAGTCATATCCGCCGCGAACTGTAGGAGTTGCCTTCGATAATCTAAACATTCACGGTTTCGGTTCCGACACCGATTTCCAGAAAAGCGTCGGTAATGTCTGGTTAGAGGCTCTTGGTCTTGTTAGGAAAGCATTGGGTCATAAGCAGCGCAGAGTTCAGATTTTACAGGACTTGGAAGGATTGGTGGAGGCTGGAGAGATGCTGGTAGTCCTGGGACCCCCTGGATCGGGATGTTCAACATTTTTGAAGACCATCGCCGGAGAGACTTATGGCTTTAATGTCGATAAGACGTCGAACATTAATTTCCAAGGTATGCTGAACTGACGCGCTCAGGAGTTTCGCTAATCCTTAACTTCTTCAGGTGTGAGTGCGAAACAAATGGCTCGCGAGTTCAGGGGAGAAGCCATATACACTGCTGAAATTGACGTACATTTCCCCAAACTCACCGTTGGCGATACTCTGTATTTTGCTGCCCGCGCTCGAGCGCCTCGACACATCCCTGGAGGCGTGGATGTCGTCCAATATGCCACCCATATGCGAGACGTGATTATGGCTATGTTTGGCATCAGTCATACCAAAAACACGATCGTAGGAAACGACTTCATCCGCGGCGTCTCTGGAGGGGAGCGAAAAAGAGTCAGCATTGCTGAAGCTTGTCTTAGCAATGCTCCCTTACAGTGTTGGGACAACTCTACTCGTGGCCTTGATAGTGCAAATGCCATCGAGTTTTGCAAGACCTTACGCATGCAGACGGATATCAACAGCGCTACCGCTTATGTCTCTCTATACCAAGCTCCTCAAGCTGCTTATGACTATTTCGATAAGGTTCTGGTTCTGTACGAAGGTCGTGAAATCTACTTTGGCCCTACAAAAACAGCAAAGCAGTATTTCCTCAATATGGGCTTTGTGTGCCCTGATCGGCAGACCGATGCCGACTTTCTCACCTCGATGACTAGCAGGCTTGAGCGTGTTGTGCAACCAGACTACGAAAGCCGCGTGCCTCGAACACCCGATGAGTTTGCAGAAAGATGGAACAGCTCGTCGCAACGAGCACAGCTAATGCAGGACATAAAGAAATACAACGCAAAATTTGCAATGGGTGGTGAATATCTCGAAAAATTCAAGCAGTCTCGGCGAGCTCAGCAAGCTAAAGCGCAACGCGTATCCTCGCCGTATACTCTTTCCTATCTACAGCAGGTGCAATTGTGCCTATGGCGCGGGTATCAACGATTGAAAGCCGATCCCAGCATTACCATCTCTTCCTTATTTGGGAACACAATTGTGTCTCTTGTCATTGCTAGCATCTTCTACAACCTTGACAACGATACAAGCACCTTTTTTCAACGTGGTGCTCTTATCTTCTTTGCCGTTCTCATGAACGCACTCGGGTGTGGTCTTGAGATGTTGACACTCTATGCGCAGAGAGCAATTATAGAGAAACACTCTCGATACGCTCTCTATCATCCGTCTGCTGAAGCAATTTCATCCATGATAATGGATCTTCCCTATAAGATTCTCAACGCAATCACATCTAACATCGTTCTTTACTTCATGACTAACTTGAGGAGAGAAGCCGGCGCTTTCTTCTTCTTCGTCTTCACCTCGTTTGTTTTGACTCTAACAATGTCCATGTTCTTCCGATCTATGGCTTCACTGTCGAGGTCGTTGGTTCAAGTCTTACCTTTCTCAGGCCTTCTTCTTCTTGGCCTCAGCATGTACACCGGATTTGCTATCCCGACGGGATATATGCTTGGCTGGGCTCGTTGGATTGCCTACATCAACCCTATCAACTACGGATTTGAGTCACTACTTGTCAATGAGTTCCATGGCCGCATCTTCCCATGTCCTAACTATGTCCCGTCCGGCCCCGGCTACACAGAGGTTGACTTCACAAATCATGTTTGTTCCACCGTCGGATCATTTCCAGCACAGCCTTTTGTCAATGGCGACAGGTACATATCGTCAGCATATGGTTATACCGCCTCGCACAAGTGGAGAAATATCGGGGTCATATTCGCTTATATGTTTCTCCTCGGTGCTGTTTATCTAGTCGCTACCGACTTTATCACTGAGAAGAAACCCAAAGGGGAGATCCTAGTTTTCCCTCGGGGACACAAAGCCCTAAAGAAGAGTAGGGCTATAGATGACTTGGAAGATGGAAAGGAGCGCAATGTCGCCATGGAACAAACCGAAACCGGGGACCTCGCAATGATCGAACGCCAGACGGCGATTTTCCAGTGGAAAGACGTCTGCTTTGATATCAAGATTGGGAAGGAGAATCGTAGGATTCTTGATCATGTTGACGGCTGGGTCAAACCAGGGACACTAACTGCCCTTATGGGTGTCTCCGGAGCGGGAAAGACTACGCTCTTAGACGTACTCGCCACACGCACAACTATTGGGGTTATAAGCGGCGAGGTCCTCGTCGACGGCAGACCGCGTGATGACTCGTTTCAACGCAAGACCGGCTATGCTCAGCAACAAGATCTACATTTGAGTACTGCTACTGTGCGCGAAGCACTTGAGTTCTCTGCACTTCTCCGTCAGCCTACTCACGTCTCACGTCAAGAGAAGCTCAACTATGTAACAGAGGTGATCAAACTCCTTGACATGACCGAGTATGCGGATGCTGTCATTGGTGTTCCCGGTGAAGGGCTGAACGTTGAGCAACGTAAGCGTCTTACCATCGGGGTAGAGCTAGCAGCTAGGCCCGCACTTCTTCTTTTCTTGGACGAACCAACTTCAGGCCTCGACTCACAAACATCGTGGGCGATTTTGGATCTTCTGGATAAGTTGAAGAAGAACGGGCAAGCAATATGTACGTGTTTAATCTTTCATTTGCGAGTGTCACTAACGCGATGCTAGTGTGTACCATTCATCAACCGTCGGCCATGTTGTTTCAGCGCTTCGATCGACTCCTTTTTCTTCAAGCTGGTGGTCGTACTGTCTACTTTGGAGAAGTCGGCCAAAATTCACAAATATTAATTGACTACTTTGTTCGTAACGGCGGTGCTCCATGCCCTCCAGCTGCGAATCCTGCCGAATGGATGCTGGATGTGATAGGCGCCGCACCTGGATCACATACAGATATCAACTGGTTCGAGACGTGGCGTAACTCAGTCGAGTATTCGCGAGTCCAAGAACACATTGCCGAATTGAAGCAAGAACGATCTCAACGGAAAGACGCATACCATGCAACATCCGAGGGCAAGCGTGAGGACAAAACCAGCTATCGCGAGTTCGCCGCTCCGTTCTGGGCTCAGCTATGTGAAGTCCAAGTGCGAGTCTTTCAACAAATTTGGAGGTCGCCTATTTACATCTACTCTAAAACGGCACTCTGCGTGTTTTCTGCCCTGTTTGTTGGCTTCTCTCTATTTCACACATCAAATACAATTCAGGGTCTTCAGAACCAAATGTTTGGAATTTTCATGTTGCTTACCCTTTTCGGCCAACTCATTCAACAAATCATGCCGCACTTCGTAGCCCAGCGTGCTCTGTTCGAAGTCCGCGAACGCCCTTCCAAGACTTACTCCTGGCAAGCGTTTATGATCTCCAATATAGTCGTCGAACTTCCGTGGAATTCTCTCATGTCGGTTCTTATGTTTCTATGTTGGTACTATCCGATCGGTCTATATCACAACGCCGAGCCCACGGATGCAGTGAGCTTGCGCGCTACACAAATGTGGCTGATGGTCTGGACGTTCCTCTTGTTCTCATCCACATTTGCGCATTTTGTTATTGCTGCGTTCGAGGTTGCAGAGAATGCCGGAAACCTCGGGAACCTACTTTTCCTGCTTTGCCTGCTTTTCTGCGGCGTTTTGGCGACTCCAGATCAGCTCCCTGGATTCTGGATCTTTATGTACCGTGTTTCGCCATTCACATACCTCGTCAGCGGAATGCTGTCTGCAGGCGTATCCAATACGGCTGTCACTTGCGCAGACAATGAGTTTCTACTATTTGATCCTGCCAACGGAACGACTTGTATCGAGTATATGAGGCCTTACATCTCGACTATGGGCGGATATCTCATGGACGACACGGCGACTCATGACTGCAACTACTGTCCAATCCAGGACACAAATGCGTTTCTTAGTCGTGTTTCGTCGGATTATTCTGACATCTGGAGAAATTTTGGAATCATGTGGGTGTTCATTGTGTTCAATATCTTCGCGGCTTGCTTGTTATACTGGTGGGTGCGCGTACCGAAGGCTAGGAAGCCAGCTGCGAAGATAGAGTGAAGGTTAGCATCGTCGAATTGTTGCCATTCTTTGATTCATTCAGAACATGCATCTCAGAATGAATGTTATCAATCGAATTATAATTATTAGTAAAGAGATGGAGTGTAGTTTAACATTCACCCTCAAAAATTCTTGATTGTTTGCGAACAAGTAAACGTCCCTAATTTTATTGTGTCGTATCTCATCTACAAAGATTCAAATGACTCGTTCCATCGAAGACACTCGGCTCAAAAGGAATCAAATGAATATTCTAGAAGAATGATGAGACTGCTTGCTTCGCAGTGTCTTGAAGACCTGTCCACCCATGACCAGTCATCCTTTTGAGCAAGTCTTCCGCTCGCTCGTTGGATACTTTGCTGAGATCACGGCCAAGATTAGGAATGTCATCAATGAAACGGCGCTCAGGATATAGCTTTCTCAGGACTGTGAGAATATCATTCCAATTAAAGGGATATGCGAATGCGAATAGCCTTTCGTTTCTCACATCATCGTAAATGAGGCTGGCAACATGAACAATGGCGTCGTCAACGATGTTGATGTAATACTGTGGGGGCTGATTCTTGTCGTCTTCGTGGCCTTCAAATCCATTCCAAGCTGCCTGAAACCAGCCGAGAGTACTATGGAGACCCTGATACTCTTTACTGAGCACAGGACCAAGGTTGCAGTTTGGAAGCACAGTGTTCAGGATGAACCCGGGGGAATGCTCCTCCATCCACTTCCAAGCAGCCTGCTCTCCTTGTGTCTTCCCGGCATAATACACATTCAGTGTTCGCTGTAACCCTTCATATGGCGGGGGTGCCCAAGCCAACCTGACTGCCTCTTCATTCCAGGTAGTGGAGTCAATGGAAAACTCTTCTCCTGGCTTTGGGCTCGTAGCTGCTCCAGAAGACGAGGTCAAGACTACCCGTCTCATCATAGGTTCGGTCGCAGCTGCTTCGAGGAAGTTGATGGTGCCATTGACCACCACTGGGACAGCCTCGTTGGGATTGGTACTTTGCATAACTGGCGTTGCGGTATGAATAAAGCCTGAAGCGCCTTTGACTGCTTCATCAAAGGCTCCTTCTGCGGACATATCTGGTACTTCCACAAGCTCAAGCTTGCCTGACTCAAATTTAGCATCGAAAAAGTCAATCAACCATTGCTGTTTCTTTTTATTCCGCACGGTGCCTCGTACGCGATAACCCGCGCTAATCAGTTGATCAATAACATGACTAGCAATATTTCCATTAGCTCCCGAGACGACGACAAGACATCCGGGATCTAGTGCAAGTTTGTATGACATGATGACAATGATAGAGGTTAGAAATGATTTTAATATACCAGGTCGAGAATTTGGTACTACAAGAGGGATATTGCCCGTCAATCAATGTGAGTTCTTCAATATATTCCAATACCAGCTTTATTTGTAGGTTTCTTCCTTTGAGATGCCGGGCGCTTACTGATACTACGGCTTGAGATAGAGTAACTTTTTTGTGGCCAAAAGTGAGACATATCTGGATTAATGGCTCCCAGCGAGTTCCCGCATATGTGGTACAGCATCAGAACGGACATGTTTAGACTACAGAAGCGTGAGGTGACTGCCTCAGAAGCACTAATTCACCAGCAATACCCGTACATCTCCTTTATTGGTTCTCATCACGACATCATCACTGCCAGTTCCGATGGCCCAACACTAAGAAATCAAGTATAATTGGATAGGGCAGCATAGGTTATATGCACAAAGTCTGCAGGATGTGGGTTGTTGAGCCAAGTACATGGTCAATAGCCTACTTGTAGCCAATGACAGGAACCAAGTCCAGCCACTTCAGGTCTGAGCAACGCTAAGTTATTTTCTATCATCTGAAAGGTTTATCCTACAGTGCCTAAGGATCTGCTTTCGACAAAGACCGTATCTTTTAGAGCACGAGTGGCATCAGTCACTCGGTCAAGCAGTTGGATTACGCTTGGTGCAACTCCGTAGGCGAACTCCCCATCATCCAGGACAGTTGATCTTCTCACATCCCGAGGACCCATCTTTTCGTCGTATGCACTCGCACGATGCATTGATTGCCGGTTATCCCACCACATCATATCGCCGGCGGAGTGCCACTCAGCAGCGAGTACGTACTGTTAGTGTGTTAGCTACCAGGCTATCATCAAAGCAATGGAGAAGTACAAGGATGGAAAGCTAATCCGCACCTCTGGTTTTGTGCAATGTGAAATCAGATCCCATATAATCTGTTGTGAGTGTTCGACACATTTGCCATCCGATGTGAATAACTTCTTGGCATGTGCAGCCAAGAAGAGTGTTTCCTCGCCATTCGGAGCCTTTTGAACAAGTCGGTGATATGCTGGCGGTTTCTTGTTCTTTTCCTCAGGTGTTAACTCTTTATACTCCTCGGGGGCAGCCAAACGTCGAGAGTGCCAAAGCCTACAATTGTTAGTCGTGCCTGAAAAGTCAGGGAACTGGATTCGTACTCATGTTCTACTGTTAAATCTCTGAGATACTCCTTCTGCTCTTCAGACAAGTCCCGGAAAGCGGACCTGGTATCAGCAAACTCTGTGGTCCCTTTTCCAGAGCCAGGTACCATATGTGCTAATAGCAAAGAGTATTTGGAACGATGTTGATTGAAGGAGGAATCAGTGTGCCATAATGCATTGCCCAACGCATGTGCCCATCGACGCTGAGCGCAAAGATTAGTCGAGGTGTGTAACAAGATGGCATATTATAGCTTACAGATCCTTTCTTCACAATGCTTCCATCCGCCTCCAGGTTACTAACATCAAATAGATGAGGCGTGCCCACACGTTCTGTACCTCCCCATGCCGGGTTGACTTCTAGCTCTCCAAGTTGTTGTGAGAATTTTACGTGGCGGGCATTGTCGAGTCCGGTACATCGGAATATGATGACCGCGTACTTATCTTGTAGAGATATGAGAGTTTTGATAGTTTCTTCTGGGAGAGGAGAGACGTTCCAGTCGACCCCTGAGACTTCGGCGCCAAATCCTGAGCTAGTGATTGGGCTCACAGTGATGCTGTTAATGGTATAAGACGCCATCTTGAAGTTGGTTTAGAAACTGATAAGAAGAAATGATACAATTATTTTGGCCATTATCTGACTCTGACTTTTCAATCCGTAATCAGCGGCACATTTATCTCTATTGTTCTATTAAACGACACGCGTTTGGTCGCTTGGCTACCGACAATGCCGATCATAAGCAGTGTCGGATCCGAAGCCGATGAAGCCGATGAGACACTTGGCGAGTAAACCGATTAGACCGATTATCCCGCCGCGTATCAGTGTGGATTAGGACCAAGGAAAATCCCAGTTCAAGTCAGAGTTATTCACCATAGAATCGAAGAGGTGCTTTAGATCCTCTTCGAAGCCGGCGCTTTTGTGAACCTGTTCGTTCGCAGCGATCGTCTCGTCGTCACCGACAATTACCGAGAAGACGCTAGTCAAGAGAGCTCGATACTCGGCAGCAGGGTGGGATTTGGAATTTGCTGTGCAAATCGCTTCGAATATTTGCGTTGCTAATGAGATCAATCGGCATAGGAGAGACTCAGCGCGCGGCCGAGCTGGATAGGTCACGCCAACATCACTACCAGCGAGTGCCAAGATTCGCAAATCGTCATCCACTACACCTCGTGCGAAGCAAAAGACCAAAAAGATTGCTGCGAAGCTGTGGTTAATCCATGATGAATCAACTGAGTAGCCGATGCTCTTGACGGCCTTGCTATCAACAGTGAGATGGCCCAGTGGAAGACAAGCAATTGAGACCGTCTGAGCCGGCCAAGTTCGCCAGCTGCTCTGCGCAGAGAGCGCGAATATCGTCTGAGTTGCAGATCCAAGAGCCACCTCCAGAGCTTGTAATACATGTAAAGATAGCTGCTGTGATTCTCTGGATGGTGAAAGCAAAGAGGATAGACATGCACTATTTATTGCCAAACGATAGGCCCTCAGCGTGGTGAAAGGCATTTGGTTGTGCTGGATATCTTCACCCAATACATGACTCCAAGTTGACTCCCAGGCATCAAACTCGGCATTTGTCTGTCGTAATGTAAATGAATCCATGGCCCTCACGTTCGGTTTCCCGCTACTCTTTGCTGCACGCTTCAAAATCGCCACGAGTTCGCATAGTGCTGCTGCTCGAGTATCGTCTGGCTGTGAAGAGCTGGAACTTGAAGAAAAGGAGCGGGCGACTGCTGCTACTGGCTCGGGATTGAGGGAGGCTGGAAGCCCACTAGAAAGCATGAGGTTTGCGTCGCATGTGAGAAGATTTATCCACACTCGAAGATGTTCTACATTGCCTTTTGCTGCAAAGGATTCGACTGCGTCCTGATGAAGCCCGAGAAACAAAGCATATCGGATGGCTAAACCAAGCATACTCCAAGCCGAGACATCATTGTATCGAGTTGCTGGTTCATTGTCTTTCGAAATGTCAACCGGCATCCATTGTATGTACAATAAGAAAGTCCTGATGTGGTCTAGGTGAACATCAGTCTGCGACGGGCGAAGCAGAAGTCGGCCCAGTGAAGCATCCAAGATCTCCACTAGGTGACGATATACCTCTTGATCCGTGCCATTTCTAAACCGCAATCCCACACAGCAGACGGCAATGAACAAAGTCGGGCATGATGATCGGACATGACCGGCCATTCGTTGGGTTAGTGGACACAACACTGGAGCCCATCGATGACAGTGAGTGAAGAATAGATCGAAGGCATCCTGTGCCTCCTCTACCGAAATCAACCCACTAAATACGGGGTCCTGGATAGACGTTTTGAAACCAGGCGGCTTGTCATGCTCCTTCAAATGTCGAAGCGTCGACATTGGTGTATCCAGATTGATCGCATCTAGGGCGCCGCGGGAGCGAACCACTGACGAGGTTGAGTATGTTGGTGATTCACTGTAAGATGAGCGTGCGATGCCATGGTTTCCTGAGGCCGCATTTGTCCTCCCTTCACTAGTCTCTAGCCCTGTTACATGGACAGTGTCATTGATCGGACTTGGAGAGTGTTTCTGAAAGTCATCAATCAGAACCTCTAGCCGGTGAAGCCTTTCCCCTTGGTCTTGGACCTGCCTCTCCAACCTGGCAATGTGGCGGGTCGTCTTCTCATGCTTGATAACCTCGGCATCGCTCTCAGTAGAAGTTGCCGTGAATGAGCAGCTTGCTCCGAGGTAAACACATCGCCGGCAGGCTCGTCGAGGATCAATCTTGGATTGTCCGTCGCATTTTTGTTTTCTGAGGCGGCATTGAACGCAGGCTTTGCTGGTTCGTCGCAATTTCCTAGGAGTGCCAGGCTCACTTGCGAACGGAGGAGGGCTTCCAACCTCAACCCCTTCCATGTTGACGACCGACAAACTCAGCCTCTGAGAACTTGGTTGACCTTGACCTGCACCAAGTGTTCTACTATCAGTAATTCGGCGATTGCTACTGGGTAATGCAATGTGCAATCTATCTACCTCCTTATCTTTATGGGGCGCGCGAGTCACGCTAGCGTGGATACGGCTTCAAGATACTGTGATAAGCGGATCGGGTCAGGGGCCGATGATGCCGTTGCGATAAAACGCAGAGCGATCTTCCCTAGATTTTATCAACACACATAGAGTATTAAAGAGGCCAATGAACAGAGCTGCGATGTAATGATTGTACCGGGGCATTCATTCTTTATTGTAGACTCTTACGACCAGCGAAATGGCAGCCATTAGGATCTCCACGTCTAAGGATCGGGAAACCGGCAATGACTCGTCGTCCGATCCAGAAAAACAACTCGGAACTACCTATGTTGTTGGGGACACACCAGCTGCCAGTGCTCCTGAGTATGTCGAGTTTATGCGACTCAAGGAGCATTTCGAATCAGACCCGAAGGCTCATCGAAGACTCATCCGGCTTCTTGACTTTCGCATTCTGCCGTTTCTGTTTCTCTATTATCTGTTGAACTCCTTGGACAAGTCAAATGCCGGAAATGTCAAAATCTACACTTTCCTCCAAGATGCGCACATGACAAGCCATCAGTTCAATTTGGCGTTGACATGGTACTTCTTTACTTATGCCGGTTTGGAAGCACCATCAAAGTGAGTATTATGACGCATGTTGCTGATGTACTACAAACTAACAACTCCCGTAGCATGTTGATGCGCAAATATGGTCCACGATATGTGAGTTGACTTCTAATCATGACGTTTAGGTGCACAGCTAACAAGCTCTTGTGATAGTGGCTTTCCGGATTGGTCATCTGTTGGGGAGCCGTGACTCTCGGAAGCGCATGGGTCAAAAGCTACGGCGACTACTGTGCCGCGCGTATTATGCTCGGTTTCTTCGAAGCCGGTCTTTTTCAAGGCTGCTTTTACACCTTGAGCTGTTGGTATCTTCCTTCGGAGCTGCAGACTCGTTGTGCCTGGTGGTACAGCGCCACTATGCTTTCAGGAGCTTTTGGAGGTCTCCTCGCATACGCAGTCGGACCCCTGCAGGGCCACCTTGGGCTCAAGCAATGGCAATACCTCTTCATTATCGAGGGTTCTCTCACAATGTTCTTCGGTATTCTTGGCTTGTGGCTTTGCCCTGACTTCCCTGAGAAATGGGGCTCCAGGTGGTTCAAGTCCGATGAAATGAAGTATTTGCAGCTGAGAGTCAAGTACAAGGACGGCCCGATCCCTCCTGATGACACATTTAGATGGAGCGCATTTTGGGAGGCTGTCAAAGACTGGAAGACGTACTTCATTGCTTCTCTTCTGGCCTTCGGTGGCTCGGTACCTACATACTCGGTCAACTACACCCTCGCGACTGTGAGAACAATACGGTTTCTGATCCTTTGCAGATAGCTGACATTCAATTCCTGTAGATGGTCAAGAATCTGGGATACAGCTCCATTAGGGCCCAGGCCCTTACTGCACCCCCATACGTATTTGCTTTTATCTGTGTCATCTTGATCGCAAGATATTCCGATAAATATCAATGCCGTGCTCGGTCCCTCATCATCAGTTACACTGTCGGAACCATTGGCATTGTTATCCTGTGGCCAACGCTGTACCACAAGAGCATGGCCGGCGTCTCCTACTTCGCTCTCTTCCTTGTAGTTGCAGGCTACAACATGCAAGCTCCGGCAGTAGGTTCGTGGCTGGGAACCAATGTACGTAACCCTGCCAAGCGAGCAGCGGCCATGGGCTGGCAATCGACATTCGGCCAGTTGGCTGGCGGCTGTATCGGAGCAAACATCTTCGTGGACAATGAGGCGCCGACGTACAAATCAGGATTCATCATTCTTCTGGTCCTGGTGATCGTTGGCGGTTATGGCGCCTGTATTGGTAACTGGTATTGCTTGCGAGCTGCGAACAAGAAGAAGGATGCCATCCCGCTCGAGGAGCTGGAGGGCAAGTACTCGGAAGAAGAGCTTGCGAAGATGGGCGAATACTCTCCGTATTTCAGATACATCCTGTAAGCCTATCGAAATCAAGATATCGGACAGCATGCTATGCGAATGTTCCTGGCGTGGGAATGGGCTTTATATAGACTAGATATGGTATTCATGAGACCTTATTCAAGACGTGGGCATAGTCAAGGCAAGAAGGAACCGGAACTGTGTCAATATTCTCGCATTTGGGTATCTCGAAACTCAATGAACTAAGATCAAGCCGGATCTCGGTCAATATTATTAGGGAGGGGCATGAGATGCCAGTGACCCCTATTTGACGACATTTTCCCGTAGACCCTTCGTTCGCAAAGTCAACTTCGTCTCGTTCTCATCAAATGGCAAGCCCGTGGGCGATAAGCGGCGCTCGAGACTGCCTGTGCGGCCGATAGCGCGCCGAAGCTCCTCTCGCTGACGACTGAGAAGCTCACTGTCCGCACTGCCTCGTCGACTACCACCGACGCTGCTCGTATCGTCCGCAACACTGACTCCTCTTCCCTTCATCCTTCCGGCCCAGAGACCTCTCACACCTCCCCTCTTCCGCTCGGGGACTTCGTCGGTGCCTGCACTGCATACATACAGCAGGTATTTCAGGTTTGGCAGCGTATCGCGGATGTCCACAACTTTGAGACCCTGCGCATTACATAGCGCCTCGATATCCTTGTTGAGCAGAAACCAGCCATAGTCAAACCTAAACTGTGCACTCGATCCTCCGCGAGGTATGTAAAGCGGGAACTCACGCTGCGGGTCAGCAAGGATGGATATGTCGTCCCTGATACTTGATCGGCTGCCGAAAGGAGTTATCGGGTACGGCAGCGGCACGCCGAGGTAATACTGGAGGTGGTCGGTCAGAAGTGCAACATGACCAAGAGCAGCAGATAGCGAGTCCTCTCCAGCGTTGGTCAATGTCGTGTCATACGTTGAATTAGGTAGTGGAATGTCGCAGATCTGGAAGCTCAGAGGTGGGCCCAGCGGAACCGGGCAAATGTTGAAAATTGCTGTCAGGTCCTCGCAGATGCGGCGGCGCTGACCATGTATATTCTCTGCTGTCTTTTCTTGTTCATCCTTAGACGCAGCTAGCTTCTCCAGCGCATTCTGGACATCGCGCTCTGATCTAACCTGTGCCGTCTGTCCATCTGCAATTGCCTGCCGGCGAGCTTTGATGGATGTGCGAAGGTCGTCGCATCTCTTCTGTGCGGCTTTTGCTGCGCGTTGTTGCTGCAGCATGTATCTCTTAGCCAACTGGGCCTTGTCCTCGGCTTCGGGGAGTGCATTCGGCTTTTCGTCAGCGATGAGCTTGTTGATTTGGGTAGTAAGCCCTTCCTGAACGGCAAGGGCATCTTGGATTGACGTGTCGAGAGTCGCGAGACGCATGAGAGCATTGTAGGAGGATGTCGGGAGTTGCTCGCCGTGCTTGGGAAGAACTGGTTTGTTAGGCAGCTCAAGGGTGTAGACGCCATCGAGGAGATGGAAAACGAGGCAATTCGGCGGAAAGTGTGTGTTTTGAAGACTGCCTAGGAAGTTGAGAAAGCGCAGGTCGACGTCCTGTTCTATCAGAAGGCTCCAATCTTGCTGGCCCTGATATCTCTTGACCCATATCTTCACTGTGAGTTCGGACGAACGCGTAACGGAGGATCCGAGCTGGGAAAGCTCGAAGAAGCGGAAATTGAAATTCTGTAGACCCAAATGTTAGAGAGCGTCGAGACACAGGCCGCCAGATTTCGCAATCTAAATAAAGGGAAACCCATACCGTAGCCTTCTCTGCAACTTCGCTGATGTATAAGGGCTCTCCATAACCTTCGGAGTGGAGAGAGAAAAAAGCGTCCGCGACCTTGGAGTCGGCCATGTACTCTAGCTGCTTCTGTCTCGTGATGGGGCTTGCATTTGATAGGTTTGTACTCCGTCGCCTTCCTGCGGGAGGTCGTAGAGTTTCGGAGGAGAGAGAGTGGTGGAGGCGGGCGCCATCTTGGAGGGCAGCAAGCTTGCTCGGGGATTTGTTGATGGCTGAATCATCTGCCGTACTGCCTCGAGGTCGGCCAAAGGTCAGATTTCGAAGGTAGATGCCGCGCAGATGTCGCAGCTTGCGATTCTGTGGCAGAAGAAGAGGGCGATGGACCTCTGGAGCCATTGTCTGTCCTCTGGCTTCCTCTTCTCAATGTCACGACAGGCGTTTCGGTGCTGCCGGGCGCAGCTCGAGGAGGGGGTGAGCTGTCATGGAACCAGCAGGAGTGGTCGATTTGGGCTTTCCTGTTGAAGTACAGCTCCTGCACAGCTGTAGCACTTTGTTCAGACTCGAGCCCTCAGAAGTTCTCCGTGCTTGTCAGCACTTAATCAAAGGAGGGTGAACGAGAGTGGGAGCTTCTCGTGGTAATTGTTAAGCTGTCGTAGTGGCATAGGTAGTACGTCAGTCCCACTGAAGCTCCTCTACCATGTTAGCTGATAGAATCACGTGTGACAAAGCTCGTTTTGTGGCCCGTGCTTCTCCCTCCCTTTATACACGTCGGTGACAGTCGATATCCAAATAACAAATTGAGAAACAAGATCACTGCAATGGACTGAAAATAACTTCAAATGCTGATCCATTACCAATTAATACCTTCTGAAAGGGAAGGAAAACAAAGATCCGGTATGTAGTTTCTAAGAAATAACACGGAGGAAATAAGGTTAATGCAAGGAATTGCTCATTCGTGGACTCGACCACCATGAAGCTATACAACAGCTTGGAACATTTGGTGTTAGGTCTATAGCGATGACTTAAGAGCTAATGGCCATGCCAATGAGATGCATCAGAGCTTACAGAAAGCCGACTTAGGCAAGTCATTCAAGTATGGTTCATGAAGATCATCCAGCATGGCTCAACGGTCATTTAGTCTAATACTAAGATACAATTGATATCTCACCACTCGTTTCTTCTTAACTTTGGTTTGAATCGGCAAATGTATACGAGTTATGTACCTGATATCCGGGTTTAGCTGGCAGTGAGGCCGTAGTCTAGTCTAAATCGCCATTTTAATATTGTTTAGCCGGCACGTCTTCTGTTGTACTCGACAGCCAGACGCCTCCGGAATCTTGCTTGTCGTTTCATCCGAGGTCTATCCTTTCCATGATTCGCAGCCGCACTGATGCTGTGTTAGTTGGTGTAGCCATGTCTCATAAACAACCCGATCACTTACAGAGAACGCCTCATCTCGCTCACTAACTCTTGCTGTTGCGCAGGGTCGTCTTGGATATTGTCGCTTGCTTCAATGGCATCCGCGCTGCGTTTCATTGGTATCGTGGAATGTGTCGCCGGGCCACTAGGATGGAGTGATATTGACGAAGGTGCATCCACGGATAATGGCGTCACGTCCCGTTGGACATTTGATGAAGAAGCCACTGGACCGGATTCTATAGGTGTGTCCCCGGCTTGCGGATTTATAACGGCTGGAGTTGGATAGGTCAGTTCACGGCACTCGTAAGCGAGAAGCTCATGCTCTTCTATCTCGGCAAAATATCGTCCTAGCGGATGGTCCATGTCAAGATGCTCTTGATAGGCATCTTCATCGGATATAGTGACGCGAGTGCTGGCCGGGGCTTCTAGTGGTAGTATGTTCTGGTAGGTGGATTGGTTAGGTGCGGCGGAGGCGCTGTATATGCCTTTGCAATTGCTCATGAATATCATCATTAGCGCGATGCGTTCATGTCGCTCGCGCTCCTTGCAGTATCGTTCTAAGGGACTCCAAGTACTTGGACTTGAGGCCCAGCTTGAGTTGCTTGATATGTTCTCATCAAAACTCGTGGGGCTTCCCTCACGATCCCCTGGTTCTCTGGCGGTATCTCTTGAGGCCAATGACGCATCAGATTCTTTAGTGCAAGGCAGGGCAAGCAAGAAGCTTCTTGCCTCTTGCCTGGTAGATGAGGAGCCATTTATGCTTGATCTATTGTCTTTGTTAGGGATCCAGTAGGCAGATGTGACAGAACTGAGACGGATCTTACGTGCTCGGGATGTCGTGTGAAGAGTCGTCAAGTAGTAGATATGGCGATAAATGCAAGCCGTCAAGGATCTCAGCTCTGTCTGCGCCAATGCCGCTGAGGTCATTGAGATGAGAGATAGTGCTGAGCATCCTGTCATCGCCTTGGTGACGGTTCTTGAGAATAGGCTGGTATTATTGCTGGAATTTCCGCGGCAAGCTCTGGCGACTGCATGCGTTCCTGTATATTGACGGAGCTCTGGGGGGCCAGCGAGAAGCCGGAACTCCTTCTCTTGAGGGATTCCCGGGAGCCTCGACCTCCTCGTATGCAAATCACTGTCTGGATTGGCGAACCATGCATCATTCTACACCTCCGTCGGACCCAGCACAGTGGATAAGGCGGCAGCGTTCGACCGCGCTGTTGGGTCGTCCAAGAATCCTTTGATGAGGCACACACATACATACACACATACAACGGACCCGAGAGAAAGGTTCACGGCGTGGGAGGTCATGCATTTTGCATGCTCACCCCCCCTCCTTTCCCCTTTTTCCAGCCAGTCTCCGTTGCAGACGTGCCGTGATGGTGTGCTGTCCCCCCGAGACACGAACTAGGGTCTATGATACCCAGTCTCCGCGCTATGCCGGCATAGCCCGCTGCGCCGCCAATAGCGGAGCGTCACAACTATGGAGACCTTCAAGGGCAAGGGTTGCGGGTGTGACGGGTCACAACTTTAGGCCCGGACGCCTTATCTTAGCGAGCCGGTCTGCTGGGTTTCAATGGGTTGGCCGTTGCTCTCCAGTGGGGTTTGTTTCCAGATTCGCCAGAGAGGCGACCAGCCGGAGATTAGTACCAAGTTATTCCTGTCGCATTTCCTTCTTTTATCAATTGGCAAGGAGCCCTTTTGCGACAGACTGTATTCCTTCGTACACCTCCGCCGGGGTAATAAATGTTATTTTGGCGAGGTGAATATACTGAAAAACCAGGGGTTTAGATACCTGATTAGGCTTCGAAGATTCTGTTTATTTCTAT